ATATTTATGCCAGTAAGTATTAGAGTAGCCATTTAAGATTTTTGACTACCTTGGAAAATACAGGTATTTCAAAGGGGAGCCAGATTCTTTCTTCTCAATAAACTAGGTCCTTGGACCTTGTCTTAGGAGAGGGCTGTTCCTTTCTGGCTCTGTCCTCCTTTGCCTCCCAACCTCTCTTAACACGTGTTAAGCTTTTTGCTGGCTCTGCATAGGTTGATTTTCTCTTCCCTGCAAGCAGTGGGTCCCACCGAGGGCTATCCTTCTTCCTCAGGTGCATGCTCTTATATTTTGATGTGCATCCAAGGAGTGCCAATGTGACAGTCTGAAATGCCAGCAGACACAGCATGAGTTTGTGGCAGCTACTGGCTTGCGAATACCAGCAGGAGGTCTTGTGAAATACCCCTGTTACAAAGGGCACTTCAATCTGAGGCTGGGCCCTTGCTTTACCTTCAGCTACTGGTTTTTCTATTCACATAGACACGACCAGCTTTTAATGAGCCCTCCCAAGGTTTTCCTCCCATCCCGTGATTCCATGTTGTTCACTGAAGATGATTAGGAAATATGTGCTAAAGGCAGCATGGACACACCTGGGTTTGGCTGCAGAGGCGGGTTATTCGATATTCTTTCCCTATATAGTCAAGCATATGCATAATCCCAGGCAAATGAAGAGACACCTATTTATATTCCAAGAATTTAATCCTGTCACAGATGGATCTCCATCAATTCCTAAAGACTTTGGTGACTGTTAAATCACCTAAGGCTCCCCAAGATCACAGCAAATGGTTTATGTACCTACAAGAGCTCCTCCCCATCGACCAGCCCCTTCCCTGCCAGGATAAATGAAAATTGTTGGTCAGGGGAGACCCCATAAACACAAGACACAAAAATTGTGGAGAAACAGACCCTTCTGAAAGGATAAACTCAGATCTCCTTCCTAACAGCACCGAGCACAAACTTTATCCCCCTTCAGTGTAATTTGAACTGCTGCATGCATACGAATGCTCTTTAACCAAAATCTCCTTAACTCTGCTCATAGACTGCGAAGGGGGAAGACAGACTGTTTTAATTCAGTTTTAAAACATCAGAAAGGATCCCACTTGCTTGTGGTGGTGCCAAGAAGAAGAGACTGAGAGGCACCAAAACAAGTTGCTGTTTTCTTTTGTGCATTTCTGTGGATTTTGTAGATGATCCTGTTCTTTGATCCTGTTCTTCTTAAGGGCTGAGTGAGGGGCTCTGAGAGAGAAAGGGCATTTTTGCTGCACACGCTCCTTTCCTGCCGCAGGTAAGTGGCACTCTACCGAATCCTGAGCAGTATGAGTCATATTAATCTGCACACACCCACTGAAACTATTTTTTCTGACTTGTTTCCATTTGGCACCCTCTCTCTTACCGGGTGCTGGGATTATAAATGAAATATGGGAGTATTTCCCTATGGACCTGCTGAAGCTGCTCACCAGACTAGCTCAGATTGCATGCAAGCAGCTGGATGTACGCTCAGAGGGGTTTGCAGCACCTCTCCAAATTACGTAACTTTGAATTTCAACCAATTTCCATCAGAACTTGAGTCAGTTCTTTGGAGGAGCAGTTAAATGAGTTTGGCTGAGTAGCTTCCAACAGGCAAGGCTGCTCTGACAGTAATTGATCCTCCTCTCTGGTCACTTCAAAAGGCTGCCTGCCTGTGTCCCTGTCATTTTCATCTCGCAGCCTGGTCATAGTAACAGGCAGCTTTGGGATTTCTTTTTTCCTCTGCTCTGCAGTGGAGTCTGTGTGTGCCTTCTGCTGCCAGTGGCCAGCCTTAGTTATTACATTCTCTGTTGGGACTGAGGATGCTGTCAGTGTTCTTCAACTTCCCTGCCCTTGCCTGTGACACACTACAGGCTTTTGGGGACTTTTGATCTTCTGTTCCTTGTTTTATTACTGTCCCAGTGTTTTGTGGCCTACAGCAATTTGTAAGTAGGATGTTTTGTGGGTCCTCCCGCACTGCACTGTAAGTTCTCTGATTTTCACGGGATTGACATCAGGATCTCCAGCTGTTCCTTTCAGCCTTACATCCCTTAGCATCCTTTCAACAGCATGACTTTCAACAGCAACAGGATGGGGAAAGTCTCCTGTATGAGCAGCCAAGGCAAAATGCCCATCTTGACCCCCTTGCAGCTCTTGAAGGCTCTAATGTCAATAACAGACCTGCCTGTGGGTCCCAAATGATGTTTGCTTGTCATCACACCCCATAAAGAGAAGCCCTTGGTCAGCTGGGGTTGGTTGAAAGCAGTTTTGATGGCACTGACCTAGGGAGGCCTGATTGAAAGGACTGGCATTTACTTTGTCTGCACTGCAGGATGTTCCAAGGTGTTCCAGGGATTTCTTTCAGTCCTTAAACCATCCCCTCTGGTTGTTTGGAAGCATATTAAGCTACCCAGTGCTGCCGTAGTTATCAGGCAAGTCTGGCTCTTGTGTGCTCCGCAGTCTCTGGCTTTGGGAGGTTTGCTCTTTGGAAGGATGGAGAGTCTGATCCTGAGGGTGGGCTAAGGGTATCTCTTAAACACCACTGACATCGAGTCCTCGGTTTAGCGTCTTGATCAGCCTTGAAATCCAGCAGAGACTGAATGACTGGAAGTCATTCTGCCAGCTGCAGCTCTAGAATAATGTTCAAAGTGCAGGAGTTTAACCCGTCCCACTCTACACCAGCCTTTTGTGGCAGGGAAAGATAAGGATTCATTTCCTTCAAAGGTGAAGCACTAAGCTATGGAGGCAGTTATTCGCCCAAGTACACAGCTCTTGTTTAAGGAAAAAGCCACAACGTGAATGCTTTATTTCCAGAGGTATAGCAGTGCCAAACTGGAAGGAAGGTGCGGGGCTACAGGAGAGCACAGCAATTGAACTTCTGCCTTGCTACTATAGATAGAAAGGTACTATAGGCTAGTATATAGACTGCTATAGACAGAAAGTTCTGCTGTTTCACTTCATCGGCCTGCACCCAGAATATGAGTTAGTTCATAGATTACAGCACCTAAATTAGAGGTCAGCATGGGTGCTTGGTGTTTGAGATTCTACTACCACGGATGGAGAGAGACTGAATGCAGTGAGCCAAGCGTGGAGGGTGCTCCATCTCCCCCAAGTGTAGGCCAGTCTCACGTTGACTGACTGTCTCGCCCAGCATAGGTCCCTATGCAAGCACTGAAATTTGGACACCGTGACTTTGAAGGTGGGAACCATCCCTGATGTATTCAGGTATTTGTATAGGAGCAAGCAAGTGGTGTGATCTTTGGGAAAGATGTTTTCCAGGGAGCTATGTCTGATGTAAGTGCAAGGGACCTCAGAACTTAGCTGATGATACTGAATCACTCTCACACTTCTAAGTGCTTCCTCGTGTGCTGAACTTTGCTTGCATGAGTGGATTCACTGAAATCTGTGGGGAAAGTAGCTGAGGGGAGAAGACTTGACCAATAGAGGTGATCAGGATTTCAGTGACAAAGAAAAAGAGCATGAAAAACAAAGCACCTTAGCCATGAGCTGCTGTCAGCCCTAAAGAGCAGGACACAAGGCCACTTGTTTTTTCAATTAGATCTACTCTTTTTTCAAAAGAATGAGCTGGACCTAAAAATAGGAAGGAGAAAATGGCTGAGGCCAGGGTGAAAGTAGGAACAGGGTAGCATCAAGTTAGCAGCAAAGACAGAAAGTTTGGGAGTAGTGTGTGATGAATGAAAGAAAAAAAACCAAGAACCCACAAAACTCCAGAATAAAGCAAGAAAGCAAGAATAACAATTTCTTGAAATTGTGGAAGAACTGAAATTCATATAGATCCTTGTTCTTTTACCATAAGGGGGGGAAAAAAAAAGCATTACTTGCAGTGAGTGACTGTTGAGGTGGGGTGTAGATAGCAGGAACATGAGAAATGACCATTGAAGGGGAAATTTCTCTTCAAATTAGATGCTTCTCTGTTCACAGGTTTCTGAAAATGACTTTATTGTTGAGGAGATGATTTCCTTTGTTCCATGTCAGTTGTTTGTGTGAATCCTTTATGTTGAAAGTAGAAATCAGATTCAATTAATGTTACCTGAAATAGGTGGAGCTTTGAAACACAACCCTGGCATCAGTGCAGAGGGACACAGGCTCCTGTTCTTCCTTCAGAAATGACTAACAATGTAAAAAGTTCCTGTTTATTTCCTCTCTACTCCTCATCCCTTCATGGCCACTAGGCAACTGCCACTGCCCTGCCCAGGACCTTCCAGAGGCTTTCCATAAGTGGGACTTAAGTAAACCGTATTTTCCAGAAATTGCTCTTTGACAAACCCTTGACTTTCATGTTCTTAGGTTAAATCAGCTGATTAATGTATTTGTGTGTAGGACTGAAATTCTAATAGTGTTCGCACAAATCTAATGGGAAAACATAACAGATGAAAGAAAACTGAGAGAGAGAAATACATACAGAACTTTTATAATAAATAGGCTTTCTCTTGCTATCTGTTATAAATTAGCATGTTCCAGGCAGGTGTTTCTGTTGACATCTCATAGGGAAGGACATGGTCATCTCGGAATACTCACAAGTGAGTATGAAAGTTGCTCCATGAAAGTTGCTTGGAGTTGTAGTTGGCCTAGTTGTATTTTTCCAGAGTAACTGGGAGGTAAAACACTGGGAGAGGGGCACATGGGGGACACTGTGGTGTGAGGGATCTCTGTATTTGACATAAGATTTGAGTGGGGTCTCCTGAAGCGAGTGGGAAGGTACTGAGGCTTGGGTTTACTCTGAGGGCAAGAGGCAAGGAGGCCACCGTGGCCGCTGGGCACTGTCCGTGAGGCCATGCTGGTGTCACGGAGGCGGAGGGGAGGTCCTTGTGTAAGGGATGAGTTTAAACCCTTACATTTTGGCGCATAAGCTGTCTGCTGACTGCCCAGAGGAAGCTCTGTGGTTGAATTATGCAACCGAGGGTTTTGTCTCAGCGCTCGCTCCTCGCAGCTGTTGGAAAAGGGACTAGGTGGAGCCTTGAGATCAGCTTGTAGGATATTCTCCATGTGCTTAAAGAATCCTGGCTAACTTTGGGAATACAGGCAGAGAGTTTCTGGGAAATGGATCTCTTACCAAGTTCATCCTTTTTCAAAGCAATTTGATATGTTGGGCTCTTGAACCCTCTTGGTTTCCTTTTGAAAGCTTCTGCATCGGCAGGAGGTAGGTAAAGAGCAACAGTTGTCTCTGGAATTAAAGCGGTTTTGACAGCCCGCGCTGCTTTGCTTTTCTGCTTTAGTTTATCATAGCTTGCTGTCCTGGGCATTTTATTTTAAGGGAGCTACTACACTCTCCATTATCAACAGGAAACAGAATTAAAAAAAAAAAAGAAAAGAGAGAGAGGAAAGAATTTGGCAAGGAGCCAAGCCTGGTCACTGAAGAAATAGGGAACTTGGAGCAAGTTTAGTTACCGGGACCGTGCATGGCAGGCAGGAAGGGCAGTGAATTTACAGGGATACAATGCCCATTTCACCCCACGAAGCAGCTTGGGTTTCGTAGGTGAATGTCGTCTCTGCGTGACTGTGCGCGAAGCTGTTGATCTTGGGAGGGGATAAAGCGGCGCGTAAATGAGAAGAGAGGAGTGTACCGGCGTGCTATGGAGGGCAGGAACTTTGCTGCTGTGACTTCTGGAAGCCTTCGAGGGTAAGATTGACTGCTTTCCTGCGGCTGGTTCCTTCTCTCTGTCAACTTCTGGGGCAGAAAAACGTTCCTTTTCTGCCCTGAGGTTTTTGTAACGCCTGATCGACGTGCTTGGGATTGAGTTTTTCTTTCTGTGCCCGCGCTCATAGACTGCGGGGTGGAGTGAACTGAGCTGAGCCTGATTTTAGCCAGCAGCTGCATGAGGAAACTGCTATTGTTTGAACAGTTTCGGAGGGAGCCGCGCTGCAGTTTGCCTTTCTCTCCGTGCACGCTCTCTTCCTCTGCTGTGGATCAGTAACCTGAGCGTGGCAACTAACGCACCCAAAGGAGCCGAATGCAAATTTTGACAGCCATTCTGGTGTCAATTTAAAGAGGCTTTTAATGAAGACAGATGGAGGATATCGCATCATTACTTTAAAACGTGGCAGATAACAGGCTGAGTCTGTTTCCCCGCAATTACAGCTAATTGTATTGGCACGGGGGAGAGTAAGGAGTAGGAGCAGTTTCTTCTGTGGATAATTTCATGAGTTTCTGTACATATAGCTTGGAACAGCACCAGAAAATAGTGCAGGGCAGGTTCCCTTTAGCCAGGATACCTGTTTGGCTGGGGAAAGTTTAGGCAAACTTTCCAACTCCTTGCAGAGAGCCAACCAATTTAAATTCTCACTTTTTTTGTGAGTCCTGACTACTAGATAAATCCTTTACCATTTATTAAGCTTATTTCAAGTTGCATCCAAGCAAATCCAGCTGCTCCTCCAAAATAAGGGTATTATTCTGAGATCAAAAACACCAGTCTCCGTTGCCTGTTCTGCCACTCATTTCCTATGTTTTCCATTTGCAAAGTGGAGAGAGGTGCAACCTGGGCTGTTCCCTGCTTTTCTTTTGATGTGTTCAAACATGAGAGGACAAACAGAGGGGTGGGGGAATATCATTGCTAATGCATAATAATAATAATGTAAAATAATGTTAAAGATGACTGATATTAATTATTTTGAATAGCTAAAATTCTGATGGTTGCTTTAGATAGAGGAAAGTGAATGAAGCTTGCCCTTTGGAACCACTATTTGAACAATTTGACTGAAGCTATTAATGCTTCAGCACTTTAAATGGAGCCCTTTACAACCATGACTTTTTACGGCACGCTACAAGGTCCATGCCAAGGTGTGCCAGGCTTTACTCTGCTTTTGGCAGTGCGTTAGGAGATGTTGAACCAACTGTGATGCCTTTCTGTGAAATACCCGTGAGTGAATGGGACTCTTCCTTTTTGGCACTTGGCACTGGTATGAAACAAAAGCAAGGAAAAAATAGGGATCTAGGAGACTTACCTAACTTATTTAAAGCCTTGCATATTTTCCCAGCTGTCTTTCCAAATCCAGTTTAAAGCAATAGGCATTCAAAGTCTTAGACTTGGTTCAACTCATGACATGTAGTAGCATTACTCCACCAAGAACACTAGGCAGCACAGGTAGACTTGAACCTTTTCTGTCGTGATGTCCTGTGCTTGGGATTCTACTTTCTCATATGCTGAGCTCTGCCTGAGTAGTTAGTACTTAAAAACAGAAACCACTTCTACGACTTGTGAATATTTGTGGTTGCCACATCAGCTGAATAAAGCTGAAAACATTTCTGTACAAATCTTGCTCACCTGTGAAAGCTGATTTAACATAGAGAGCTATAGAGAGCTGTTGAGTAAAGGTATGGCATGTGTTCCGAATTTACAGATAGGCAAGGCTTTTGTATAATAAGGATGCATGTATATCACCTTGTTTTTGGAGGTAGAGCTGACTTTAAAGAAATCTTAGAACTGATTTACCTTAGAACTGACTTAAAAAAATCTTATTTTCCTGCCTACCTGCCCTAGACTCTGGGTGGCTTTTTCCACCATCACATCTCAATCACTGCCCTGTCAGATCTGCTAAAACCACTGTTTGGACAGGAATTTTGGTCTGTACTGGACTACATCCCATGATCTGGATTAAAAATAACCTTTCTAAAAATGATTATATTTAACATGGTTCATTTCACAGAGCTTGGGAACAAGGTGGTGGGAGCAGAAGCACCAAGTGTTCTTAGGTTCAATGAGAAATATGAATTAGATATCTCATGTAGCTACACCCAGAGAAACTGGGCCAAGAAGCTAAACATATTTTCCACTCAGAACATCTGCTTTCTGTTAGTCAAGTTGGCCTCTTTTCTGATTTTTCTACTTATTGTAGAAGGGCAAGGAGCGTTTCCTTCCATCTCCAAGCTGCAAGAGATTGTCTTTGCTCTCAGTTGGTCAATCTAGACCTTGGCTTTTGTATCTCACGCCTTAAATAAAGCTGGGCTTGGATTTTGAAAAAGCATCTCCTCCCCATTCAAGACCCATCAAATCTCTTCTGGATATTAAAAAACATCCACAGAGCCACAGAGGAGGTAGATGGTCTTTGCAGAAGCATCAGCCCTAGCTAGGCTGTTTGTAGAGCACTGTATATGGGAAAGACTTTCACAGTGAGCAAAGGAAATTTATTCATCATTTATACCCTTGACTCCCCATAAATGAGTAACTGGGAATTTGGTCTTTAAATGATTTTTGCTATAGGCTCTGGAAAGATGGGGAAGCAGCACACGGCCTGTTAAGCAGAGGAATAAGAACTGCTTGACTAATAGAGATCTCTCTTGAATCCCGTGGGCCTCATTTGATTACTGAACAGCACCAGGGTACCAGGAGGAAAAAGAAATGAAACAAAATAGTCAAGTGGAAAAGGGAGCAGCCAAAAAACTCCAGCTGAGCTGGCATACAGTATGGAAGACAACTTGAGAAGATTTAAACAGTGCTGCACTTTGCATCTGAAAATCACTGGTGCCTGGGAAAAAGGAAGGCAGACACAAAGGTGTCTGTGCTTTGACTATTGGAAATTTTCATATGGTTTATGGTTTTCAGCTAATTCAGAAATAGGAGGTTGTGAAAATGTCCTAGCAAAATTAGAGAAGTCCTTCACACCACATGCAAACATCAGTGCATGAGAAACATCATTCTTCCAGAAAGTGGAAAGGGAAATTAAAACCATAGCAGTGGACATGATTGATATGAGGCTGAAGAGCCAGTGTTGCAATTTTGGATGGCAAGATGACCTCTCACTTAAAAAAAAAAAAAAATAGGCAAGAGATAAGACAAAGATGATCAGGGATGTGGATATTGATCACATCTAGAACAAAACCCTGGAGGAGAGTGTAAGGTACAACTGAGAGCCCAAATGTGCCAAGGAAAAAAAAAAAAAGGCAAAAAAGATCACACTGGCACACTGGCAGAGCAAACATCAGCCAAGAGGAACACACCTTGCTGTAGAAATTATAAATCCGAGCACAAGTGAGGACCATACCTGGCACCTGAGGACCAGATGAAATGCAAAGTCCAAAGCAACCTGTGGTGATCAAAGCAGTCAAGGTGACAGTTAGCACAGGTATGAAGTGCTGTGTATCAGCAAGAGGATAACTCCACCACCATCTGCTTACATTTGCCTTCATATTTGCAGTAAAGAGAAAGACAGTGAATGCTCGCACTGAAAACAAGCCCATAAAAGCATTATGGTGTATCTCCAGAAGCTGTGCTAATAGTACAAGGCACACAGAGAAGCTACAGACTGTGAGAAAACCTGAGAATGAGAAACGTGAGTCGAAAACAAACTGGAAAATGAGAGATATTTGTAATATCAAAATAAAGTCTACATGTTAAATGAGTTAGGGGTGTGTCAAGCTTTTAGTGTCATTATGGGTGTACCTATGGCATACTGACACATTCTCAAATGACATTGTGGTTTTGGCAAGGCAGGAACTGAATTTTACTTGGAGAATAAGGTCCTTTGGATCCAGCTGCTTAGAGGATCAGGTATAAAGCTTTGGAAAGATTTGTAACATGTGGGCTTCAGCTAAGCAAGAAGCTGTGCTAAATCTGTGTGATGGAAGTAACATATTTGGAAAGGTACAAATGGATATGGTAAAGCTGCCATGGTGAAGTCTGCCCTAAAATACAAATTTTCATTGCAACGATGAACCTGTAGGAATATTTGTGCTTAATCAAGCTGCCCTTAAAGGTAATCCAAATTTGCTGCTGAGCAAAGATATTTAATGAATGCAGTTCTCACCAAAAGCGCTGAGAAGCTGAAGGCATTAAAGATGCCCCATGACAAAGCAGTGTATTGTTGCAGGCTTTTATCACACCGCTGTCACGCCAGAAATCAGTGATTAATGTCCCATGGTAATTAACAAAACCCCTGTGCCAGAGCTGAAGGAAGTTGCATGTTTATATTTATGAGAAGCTGATCTTAACTGTATTGTTTGTTTGACTTTATTATTGCTGAGAGCAGGCTTATAACCTCCCTTCTATCTGCTCTCCCATAAAAATAAACACTCTTTTTTGCCTCTCCTGAAATTATATGCCTTTCAATTAAGTAGGCAGCTGGGAGAGATTCAGTAGTTGCAGACTGGCTTTCTAAAACATTTGGCAAAAACAGCAGAGTCCAGAGTTCAGCACTGTACCTATATCAAATGATTACAACTGGCCAACCCTTTGCAATCTTATGCTACATGTGGACTGTGATTATCAGATCTGCAGCTCTTGGTGCTCTAGGAAGGGTCCAAGGTCTTTACCTCTAGGTGTGCAGGGAGCCTGTTTCACTCCTCCCACCTATTTATGAGGAGCTAAGTCCCAGTTAGAAATTTTTAAAAGACATAGGATTAACAGACCCTAAATGATATAGAAGAATATGTTGAAAGTGATACACTAAAGTCAGTTAGGGCTGGAAAGTAGAAATGCTAGCAAATGCTATAATATTTTATATTAATCTCAAAAGAACAGCAGGATTGAGAAAGCTTTAGGTTGTGATATTGAGTACCACAACTTTAAGTGGCTCCATGGACAGAGGACTTTGGGGAGAAGCATTGCCCAAACTTTTGCTCTGGTAAGCAGGACCATTTGGATCAGCATGAGTGACCGAGCAAGGATCTGTCTCGAGGACAGTGGGCACAGAGGGCTCCAGAGCTGGTGGTAACTGCGTGTGACTGGTGTGCAGGTGGGAACCTTGTGCCTGACGTGCTGGGGGTCCAGGGCACCCAGCAGGCTGGATGGGGCATCACCAGCTGCTGCTTGCAATATCTCAGGCTCATCAAATTAGCTGTTTTAGCACCTGGGACAGAGAAGATCTGCGCGGCAGTGTTCGACCTGTGCAATCATTGTAGACTTTTTCTTCAAGATGGTGAGACTCCAGCTTGCAGCCAGGACTGCCCAGTGATGAATCAGGAGTGCACCTGGGCAGTGGCAGCGGCTGCATTTGCTTCTGTGTTTCTGAAATACGGTATATTGTCTCTTCCACTTCTCCCCTTGCTCAGCCTTGCTCAGGGACATACAGACTGTTATTCAAAGTGTCACTTTAAAATTAAACAGAAGCAGTTGGTGTGTTTTTCTGTGAGGGACAGTGTGAATGTCAGCAAGCTGCTGTGGCCTCACTGTGGGTATTTATTCATAACTTGTAATTTCTCTTCATAAAACATGAGGAGTGTCAAAGTTCAACAACTTCATTCTCTTACGGACATTGATAATGGACTGTTAGCTACAGACCTCTAGAAACTTATCTTAGTTAAAACGTGATTTCCCCAAACTTCTCTGATTGGCTCCATTAGTCTGTTTAGCAATTAATACAGCATTCCTGTTGATTCAGGCTGCAGGTCAGCCAGGCATGCAGGGAAACACAGCCTGGTCTTCTTCACGGACCTTCACAGCCTGTAAGTGCCAATATATGACCATTAAGTCCCTTAGATAAACAGCGCCATGCTGGGAACACCAGAAGTTTCACCAACAGGCTTGATGTGATTTCTCTAATGCTCCATCTCTCTGCCTATCAGAATATGTTCTGTGCCTTGAAAGCATTTCAGGTGCCTAGTTTTAGGCTCCTGAGTCAGAAATATTACAAACAGGGGAGAACTTTTACTTGGAGCTGTACAAGTTAAGCTTCAACACTGAGGATACCCAAGAGATGGGCAGCAGCGTGAGCCAGTGCATGTTGAGAACAGGCAGATGCTCATTTTCCCCTTGCTTCCTTCTCTCCAGGGAAACTAGCCTGGCTCTGAGTACTCACATGCTTCATTTGTATCTTAAATGCAAGTCCTGGGAATACCTTCATGCTTTCTTTTATTATTATTATTTTTTTTTTGTAGTACTGAGGTAGTAGGGAATATTCTTTCTGGCCTCTGCTTGATTGGCATCTCTCTGTGCTGTGTCAACAGATGAATAGATCAAAATGTTCCATGTAAAGTAACTTAGACCCAAGGAGTGCAACTTGCAAACGTGAGATAGTTTTCTGTTTAAAACTTGGTGTGGGAAGAACTGCAGCTGTTGATCATACTGCTTTGGACTGGTATGCACCACTGTAAGGCCAGAAATGACATGCTTGTGTTGCATCGTGTCATGATGCAGGAGTAGAAACCCCCATTATGAACAGCCTTCTCTCTTGTCTTGCAGAAATTCCATGGAGTTGGACTAAAAGAAACTTTTGGGATGCCTCTATTTGGATTAAAATTTGGAAAGAAGAAATTGAAAGGTGAGTAAATTCAGGTAATACCACTCTTACCAGGTATTGTTTGGTCATACCATTGTCACTGATGACAACCTAAAGAAAGTAAACTCAGCACATGCACTAGCCCTTGAGGACGTGCTTGGAAGCAAGTTCTACACCCGCCAAGCAGGTGCAGGAAGATATGTTCTGTTGACTTTCCCCGTGTTTACTCAGGCAAGTGGTGCAGACTGTGTCCCAATGAACAGGAGGACATGTGCTGAGAGGGAAGCAGAAGAGACAAAGGCACCCAAGAGCAGGGTTACTGCTGTATCCTTGAGGTGGTCCAGCTTCCTGCAGGTCGTTAGGGTGAAACTGAAATGGGAAAATACATGCTTTAGATAAGCAGCAGAAGTGTTTTTTGGGGAAAAGAGGTCTTTCCTGTTGGCATTTAACCTGCAAGTAAGCTTACCTAAGCAGAGAAGAATGGGGAGATGGTTTTTTAATGGAGCGTGTGGGAAGAAAGGAAGGATCAGGTAGTGCCAGTGATGGCACAAAATGGGATGTTTGTGCTCTTTGCTTGACCCCATGCCGGTTAAATTCAGCACTGGAACATCAGACCAAACAAAAGGGTGGGGATGATTGAGTACCATCTATGATATGAACAACAACAGAGAACTGAGAAAATTCAAATACATTAATATACCTGGTCCCTAGGTGTGCTACTGGGAGGGCTTCCAATCAATGGGTTAAGCCCCAGTCATTACTGCAGCTTATCCACCTTAAAACCAGCCTAGGGACACCATGAGAGGAAGAGGAAGGATATGGAGGAAGGAGATGGAGCTCAGATTTTGAGGTTTGGGTTTTCCTTGTCAGTGCTGGAGACAGCCCGCTCTCCGGGATAGTCGGGTTATGAGCAGCCAAGCTCAGGGCAGAGCTCAGCAGGATCAAGTAGCTCCATCTGGAGCAAACAGACTGGGAGGGGGACAGTGCCTGGCCTGCAGCTGCCTGCTGAAGTAAAGCTTGGCTGGCTTTGGGACTCCCATGCAGATCTAACAGGAAATCTTTTATGACCATGGACACTGCATATGAAAAATGTATTTATTTTGACATAATTTCCCATGAGGAAAATAACTGTGAATTGAAAAACTTCTCAACATTTGTTTCAGAGCTCTATTTATTTTTGTGGTTTTACATCACTTCCCACCACTGTGTATAGCCGGTCTTAACAACGTGTGCGATTATATAAAGCTGTTGCACTACCAGCATGCCTAGGAGTTGCTGCCTTCTAGTAAGGGATATGAAGAAGGGAAAGAATTTCCAGTTGGTAGATCTTTGAAATCACTCATTTTCATTCTGAAGTGGATGAAAACAAGTAGCTTTTCCTTAAGAAATAGTTTGTTGCAAAGCATTTCTCAGACATAGTGAGTTCTACCTTGATATGTGTCTGGGGAAGGAATGATGGAGACACCCCGATCAGGAAGAAGAAAAGGACAAACCAAGATGATGGTGTTTCAAGTGAAGGAGGAAAGGAGTGATAGGGAGCCTCTGTCCTTGCCATAAAAACTGAATAAGAAGAATTTTTAATTTTATGCTGCTCTAGCACTTTCCAGGCCCGTGTGACCAAGGTCTTGCTTGGCCACATGTGTTAACACCTGCTGGGGAGAACCAACGCATCCTTTTGGAGCCCTCTTTCCTCTCACAGTTCTCTCTCTTCTTATGGTGATAATATGAAAAGCTGCAGGATCTTATACTGAACTTTATAAGTTAAATATTTACTGGACCTGAAGCAGAAATAATACCAGTCCACTCTCAAAATCTGTTATTTCAGACTTTTTTTTTTTTCTTTTTTTGCTGGGTTAAAATATAGTTATTTTAAGAGATCTCTTGAAGGGGGCCTGCATTAGGTGATGCAACAGAAAATTCATTTTGCATTAATGCCTTGTGCAAGAACATGACAATGTATAACCCTTGTTGTCAAATCCAGTTGTGACTTCTTTTTTTAGTGCTCACAGTAGGTTTAGGTCTGTACTAGACAGAAAATAGACAATCTTTGAGCAAAGGGAAAAAAAAGCTTTTACAAAAGAGTATTTCTTACATTTCATTTCTTCATGAGGAAGAAGGATGCTGTTTTGTTTATGAATTCTGGGAGGCAAAAAGATGCGTAATAAGGAAGATCTTCGTTTAAGGAGAGAACATCAGATAGGAGGGAATAGGGCTAAACCTGTTTGTAGTGGTATACCTGAATGGTCTTGCCCCAGAATTTTTTAATGAAATCCCTCACACTCAGTATAAAGAAGTCTGTGCCAAAGCTGAAAATGTGTGTGATATTGTCAGAATAAGTCAGAGAGGCTCCATAGAGGAATGGGCATTTGCTGTTTTAAAAACGTTGAGTTTTATAACACAGCAACCTTGAGAGCCTTTGCTTTGAGTCAATAATATAAAATACGTTTGTTTGCCAGGCACCTGTGCACGCATCAGCTCTGAGCAGGACTTGACTTTAATCTTCACCTTTGCACTTCCGTCCCACCCGGTTCTTAGCTGTCCTTCTGCCACATACGTTGCACCATATCAGGCTTTGGCTGCTTTTCAAGTCATGGATGGGCTTTGGTTTGGTGCTATGGAGCAGCTGGCACACCTTAGCACCCGACAGTTACAGTAATAGACTGATACTGGTTAATGATGGTACAGTTTTGTCTGTGTCCTATAAGCTGCCTATGTAATGTAGATAATTAACCCCTGTGTGAGCCTTTGCCCCTCTCAAATAGATTATCTCTTCCCCATGCGTTCTCTGATCTTTATTAAAATTGTGAACTGTAAAAAATTGATAAAGAACCTTTATATATATATGTATATGTATGTATATATATAAAAGAACCTTTTTATATATTCATATATGTGTGTATACATGTCTAGCACTCTCTCAATATAATTCTGACCCCTGCAGGCACTGCTGTTTTGTAAATTTAAAATCCTCTCGTATTGCTGCTATGAACATGGTGCTTGTTCAGTCGAACCCAACTATAGGGGCTCTCTTAGTACCATACCTGCAAGTCAAGAAACTTGTTGCGTGGTTGTTTTATCGCTTATGATTGCACAAGGGAGCAGTTACTGCTCTCATGCAAAGGGAGACTTTGGCTAATAGTTTGCGTAATAACCTCCCTAGGAGCAACAATTTAAATTCTCTAGTACAGTATATAATGACTTGCCCTCTTGCATGGAGTTGTCCTTTGGAGGACACTGTAATTTTTCTTTTTCTGGGGTGGGGGACAGAGGTGCCAGCACACCCATGGCAGATTTATGTTACTTGCCTCCATGGAGTAATGGTTGAGTAGCACAGACCAGAAATAGGGGACAGTTCTCTGCCTATGAAGAGGTGGTTGAACTTCCGTGTGCCACATGCACAGTGGCACTTCGGCCATCGTTGAGAGGTGCAGCAGGGAGCTGGGTCACACAGTGCCTCAACAGCACACACAGTGCCCAAAAGTACGATCCACAGATGCAGTGAGGAGATGAGACATGGTGGGAGGAGGTTCATCTGTGGCATTTGGAACAGAAATGTGCTGCATGGTGAAGGCCTTGTGAGGCCTCCTTGTGAGGCTCGGGAAGTCAGATATGTGCTCCTGGGACCGGAAGAGCTGGGCTCTACAGCCCAACTTTCCTATCTTGGTATTCTTTGCCAAGAACCCCACTGCAAGGACATCTGAACAGATGAGCCCAGCACCCTGATGCTGCTATTTGTAGCTGATTTAATGCAATTTTTATGCTCTTGGGATTGCTTGCTTAAAAAGGGTGGAGCAGAGTTGGGTGGTTTTTTTTTGTTTGTTTGTACTTGTGTTGTCTCTAGACTGTTCAGGCTTAGCTACTCCAACACTCCCGTAAATGGGCTGTGCTCACTTCATGCATGAGGTATCAGGCCCTAGTTTGTGTATAACTTGAGAAAACCAAGCAGATCTTAGCCTTCTGCTCCTTGGAGCCACAAAACCCAGTATCTACAAAGCTTTTCCAATGGCCTGTTCAAAGCATTTCACTTGGCATATACTCCTTAGCATAAACCAGAAGCAAATTTCCAGGATCTCTGAGCATATCTTGAATTCAGCCTTTTGCAGGACTTTTTCCATGCAACAATCCTAAGGGCAAAAACCTGGCGGGCTGGCCAGTTACATTTATAGACGATTTTTGGCATGGGTTTAACATTATTCCATCCAGATGTTATTCCATGGTTTAGCTCCTAAATCTGTCTGCCTGAGAAAACAGCCATTTTCCCAGTGCCTTGGTCTCAGTGGTTAGACCAAGAACTGGGCACTAGGCCATATTTGTGTATGTTGAGTTTCCACTGATGAATAATTTAAAATAGTTTTCAGTGGCAATGAAATGATAACTTGGAGCACAAATCTCTCTCTCTTTCATTTTTTTTCCAGTGATTTGTGACCATAGTTTGCAGAGCAGATGGTTTAATATGAGTTATTTAGAAGTAAAAGTTTCAGGAATGGGAAAAAAAGCCTCATATTCTAACCCTTCACTTCCCCCCTCTTTTTTTTTTTTTTTTCTCATTGCGTCCAGAATTAACAGTGCATGGCAAGACATGTGTGCTTGGATCTACAGCCAAAATATTCTGAGCTCTCGTTTCCAGGCATATCTGATGTAATGGTAGGGTTTCTCTAGCTCTTTGTTTATAGCACTTATCCAAGAGGCTTCATTTCTGCCCAAACAGTCACAGAAACGAATAAAAGGGATGTCTGACCTAGGGTAGCTGAGAGCTGCTTGTTTCGGGAACGCAGCGGGAGGGCCTCGCTGTGCTCTCTTGGTAAAAATAAAACCACTGGGACAGACGGTGCTGCCCTGAGCAAGCGGCCTGTGCTGGTTCTGCTTTTGTGTGGAGAGAGGAGAGAGAGTTTTTGCTTGCTGCGTGAGGCACCCTGTGCAATTCGTTGGGGCTGTGCTTCCTTTAGCACAGGTTGTGTAAGGATAATGAATACCGCTCATTAGAAAGCGGCCTCTAGATCTTGGCCTTTGGGAAAGCCGCGTCTCGGAAGGCCGATGACCATTAAGAGCGTGGGTCTCCGGGAAGGGAGGAGTTCTGGTGTTCGGGGTGGATTTTCTAGGGTAGGCCGGAGCATTTTGCAGTCGGTTTTGGGCCCGGGTTCATTGCTATCATGGGGCCTTGGACCTGAGGCCTTCAGGGACGTGGTGTTTGAGCAGCTCTGCTTCTGCGCCTCGACAGTTGAGAGCAGAGCTGGCTCTGTGTCCCCCAGCCTTACACGAGCTGTATAGCCTTACACATTTTGACAAGCTGATAGGTTTCTCAGACTTTTGTCGTCTAATCAAATTTCCTTTAAAGCCAGTTATCTTTTCTTACTCTTCCTTTTTGTGGATTTTATGCTGAGGCTAGACCTGGAGTCCCTGGGGAGAGGCCTGGAGCAGCGCTTACTGTATAGGAGGAAATCTGTGAGCACAGGGAAGTTCTGTATTTAATAACTAACTGTATCTTTCATCGCCTTTGATAATACCAGTTACGCTCAAGAAAATACCTGAAGGGGCACGTAACACAATAGTTAAAGCTCTGCAAGGCCCGGCCTCCGGAGCTCTGCCTCTGTTTTTCTTTTGGACACAAGTTACGCTGCTCTGTCTGTACATTGTTTTCCCCAGTGTGAAAGAAGAGAAAAATGTGTCTGTGGAAAGCAGTAAAGGAACTGAGCGCTCGGAGTGTCCTGAATGAAGCCTCTGTGCTGGTCTGAATCACCCAGCCAAGGCAGATGGGATCCGATTGGAAAACGTCCGACTAGATACGACTGAAAAAAAGAGAAAGCGCATTCACCTGCTGACACAGTAAAGAGGGTTTTTAATTAAGTAATTAGAGGGTCCGATGACAACAGCCTACAGGCAGACATAAAAAAAAATGGTGTGCTGGAAAAGGACTTAAAAATTAGGGATGCAGTGTTATTTATAGGGTTACTGGAGGAAAAGAGGGAAGCGTAACAGTTCGATGCATTGAATAGCTTAGATGTTAGCTAATGCAAGAGTGAATAAACAGGAAGAACTAGCTGTCTTATTAAATCATTTAATAGGTATAACAGACGTGATGGGCTAATTTATGAAGCTAATACACTAACATAAAAGAACAGAGCTTATCCTGGGAAGGGAGAAGATGTTTTCCGTGTATGTTGATGTGCTCTGATACTCAGCATGTGGAAAGAAATGAACAAAAGAGCAAACCTGAGTAGTGATGCAAGAGTAAAGAACACGAGACATATCAAACCGGGAAGGACGTTCTTTGCTGAGCAATTAGTATGATTATCTGAAATACAGGGCAGGATGGTAAGGGAGAATTTTAACTATGCAGACATAGAGTTGGGCAGGAACAGGATCTGTTCAGCATGTTCATGAAGTGTGCTGGTACAACCCTTCTGTACAGAGGTGGACAATCCTACAGAACCAGAGAGATGAAGTCATAGTATGATACCTAGGAGAGGAAAAAGTGACAACAGAGAAATAATTACAATGGACTTCAAGAAAGAACTCTTCGGTAAATATGGAGAAGTGGTAACTAATATCTCAGGGGAAGGAAACCTGGGGTGGCAGGGGGAATTAAACAGAGCTGTCATTTCCTTAAATAAATTATATTAAGAGAATTAGTGCAAGCTATCATTTTGCAGATAAAGCTTCAGAAGGATGAATAAAATGGCCAAATCACAAGCTTTGCATTCACCTCCGACAGAGGAAGGATGCCTATACAATTTGCACAGCAGGCTTCCTTATCCAGGGCAAACTGTGTGGCAAAGGCAGAAAGTGATAAGAAGCTATCAAGGGCACAGAGGGCAATAAAAATTGTTCTGTAACTGTCGGTTTCTCCAGAGTACTGTAACCCTTCCAGTAAGAGGCAGATCAATGAAGACTTACATCTGTGAGTCAGTGTTTAAAAAAAAAAATGCAAAACATAAAAAGAAAACTCTCTTTTTATTTTTTCTTTAAGTCAAACATCTAACACATTGCTTTCCAGCAGTGGTGGGGAGAGGGAGATTTTTGGCTGAATTAGAGAAGAAAAAGAGCAAGGTAGATGTTTTTCCACTGGTTTTACTGGGCAAAGTTAATTGTGTACTGAGAGAACTGCCTGGAGCTATATTGTCTTTAGGAGATTTTGGAGAACAGACAGGCAAAGTTCAGAAGACTGAGGAAAGAGCAAAAGAGCTTTCTAGGACATTTATCTTGAAACGAGGGGGAGAAGAAAAGCTGTGCAATTATAGATGTATTAGCTTTGCTGCTTTGGTAAATGTTGAAGCAGTCAAACAAACCACTTCATAGTAGTTGGGGAGGGAAGAGATGATTAACAGTCAGCAGTTCAGAAAAACTCCATTAAGGCAAAATTAATTCTGTATTAGTGGCAGGCCTTAGGGCTAGGGAATAAGCCATAGACAACTGTCATGCATCTTGAGAGACAGGCTCAAGATAAAATCACCACAGAGTGAGTCCCAGATTTTTAGAAAAAAATACACTGGCAGTAGTTATCAATGATTCGTTATCAGATTCACGGGACTCATCAGGGATGTATCCTAGATCTGGTATTGAATATTTTTCGTCCAACTTGGCTGGTAGAATAATGAACACATTTAATGAATCTGAAAACAGCACAACCCTGGCAGTAACTGGAAGCACATGGAAAGGTAGTAGCTACAAGCATCCTAAAAGATAGAATTGTTGGAGAAGCAGTAAAAAGAAAATAGATGTAGTTCAATAAGGACAAATGTAAGATTTGCATATCCTGATGAGGCTTTGGCTCTGCCAAAAAGAATCTGAATATGTAGTGGATCATATTCTGGAACACTGCCAGTTGATTCCTGGTAGTGCAAAAGGATATTAGGCAGGGGAGAGTAGTAAAAGTGATGCCGATTTTGACTGATTGACCCATAAGAAGCAACTGAACAAACTGGAGTTGTTTAGCCTAGGGAGGAGAAGACTTGAGTGTGGCATAACAGCTTTCAAATATGTAATAAATTCATCTGTGCTCTGTGTCCTTGGCAAGTCGCATGTGGAACTGCAATCTAAGTAAAAGCAGAAGAGCATTTTTCATCGTCCTATGTCAATTAAATTGAATAATGGCTTTTATGTTAGAGAATATGAAGAAGCTTCCCCCTGCTAAGGACACTGCTGTACTGGAATAGACAGAAGAACAGACCTCAAGAGAGCTTTCTGGAACATTTATGGAGGCTGACAGGCTTGACTGTGCCTTGAAGAAGAGACTAGATTTGATGGCCTCCTGAATTCATGTCCGATGGTCTTGGATTTTTGTGCTGGGGTCATGGCAATGTCCTGTCTGCAGGATGGTGGTAGAACATACATGTGTTTTGCATGAAGAGCACTAGCAGTAGGCTCATGGCAACAAGGAGACTTCAGTGTAGAAGTGGAGCCAAGCAGAGGTTTCAAGCACAGTTGACATTTTTTGCCCAGGAGAACTAATAGTAGAGGTGAATGAACTGCTAAAGCAGTGCTACCTTTGCAGCCAAATATCTGTGTGTGGGAGAGCTCAAGCATGGGCCCAAATTGCTGTTGTAATGGTTCCTAATGCTGCCCTGTCAGTACCATCAGCCTCTTCAGTCCCTTAAAACTAACCATTTAGCACAGATTGTCCCTGATAGTACCTCTTTGCAGATCTTCTTTCCTTTGCTGCTCCTTCATTGCTGTCTATGTGGATTTTGCTCATGTTTAAGCTTGCATCAGTTCTTCCTCTGCAGAAGCCTGATGTGTTTTTTCTCCTTTACAGAGGAAGAGAGACAACTTCAAGCAAACAACCGGGACTTCAATCTACAGTTTGAATATGCGGTAAGTAACCAGCGTGCATTGTTTAATGCAGTTGTATAATCACAGATGTGGTCACATCTGCTTCATGTCTTCACACTGTAAGGATCTTTCCCTTCATGTTCAGTTTGTTATTTCAACTGGTTCATATCAGCACGTGCCAGCTAAGTCTCTGTAAGATGAGGGCTGAAGTCTACTCTTTAGGAAGAAGATTATTCCCCTGGGCTTCACAGGAAGACCCAAACTTTGCATCTTGTTGTATCCTGTGAGAAGATGATGGGAACCAGAAAACATATCAGAGAGGTGTTTCGTTACTGAAACAGGCGTAGAGAGATCTGTCTTTGGAGTCAGCCTGCAAGGAGCAATTGAAAGAGCTCTAACTCTGGAAGAGTTATACCAGAATAACTTCACCCGCTTCTAGAAAATACTGCAAGTCAAGTGTTTGTAGGATCAGGCTTGAAGGCCTTTCAAAAACAGAACCTGCCTGGAAATTTTCTGTTGAAAATATGGCTCCATTTAAAATAAAACATTAGAGGAAATGTGTCAGTTCCTCAGCTCTTGCAGTGAAATCCTCTCTGGCAGGAAGGTTTTGAATCTGGCCTTCATGGCTTCCTGCCAGCTTTTCCTTCCAGCTCCTTAACAGCCTACTTGGGTTCACACTGTGCCATGATATCCATGACTCCAGTAAGCACCATTACACAGCCTGGCTGTGGCCCAGGTCTACCCAGCCCTCACACCAGGCAACCCTGTGGGTAAATTGATTTCCGAAGCTTGGGGACGTTTCTCTGAAGCTGCGCATGCAGGAGGCTGCTGAGCCTGAGCATCTTGACTGTGAGGTGATCTTTCTGTTGAAGTATCCTGGAGTTATGTTTTTTTGGAGCCTATTGTAGCTGCCCACTGATACTGAAAGGAATGTTGTGCATTTCTGTCCTATGCATCTCTGCTCCTGAGTAAAACTGAATGATGAATTCACTTGTCATTCAGTTTTACTCAGGAGCTCCTTTTCATCATTTTGTTTTAGGAACATCAGAAGTGATTTTCATATTTCAGGACTGAAACAACCCAAAATTTCAAAACATTTAAGTTTTTCATGAGATAGAAATTCTCACTTGCCACAAGCTTTGATTATAGGTCTTATTGTAGCTGATCTGCTGGCACAATGAACCTGACCTCCTTCAGTAATCCCCTTTCATCCATGAACAATCCTACATAGACAGAGACTTCCTAGGTGTGGAGCTGCTGACTGAATGTGGTATGGAATTCAGGTACTGAATATGAAATGCCCTGTAGACAATATGTGTAAAGGGCTGTGCACCACGGATACCTTGTCAGACTTGGTGATTTGAGATTAAGAAAATGTATTTGATTTACATAAAGCCTGCAAGTACAGCAAGGGGATTGGCATTGCCACTGTGCAAGGATTTATTTTCTTTGGATGTTGCAGGGCAGAGTATGAGCTGAAATGGGACAGTGAAGGAGGAAGGAGAGGTTAAACAGTCTCAGGGCACAGAGGGAAAGCCAGAAGCTCTTGTCCTGAGTCTGTCTCTGTGAAAAGACATCATAAAACGGATTTTGCATGTCACTGCTTCCTGTCCAAGGATTTGCAAATAACCAAAGTCAAGGAGAGGGCACTGAGAGCTCTGGAGAGTATCTGCAGAAGTGGATTGTTTTGATATGAAAGAGTAGGCAGTCAGACAGCCAGCTCGATATGATCTGTAGGAATTTGACAGTGAGTTTCTGTTAACCAACCCTTCATGTTAGTCAGTTTTACCCCGTGATTTCTGGAATCCAGTGTGAATCAAGGCTTGGAAATTCTAGACGACTCTCTAGAAAAAGCAATGTCTTGAGGTGGTGCCCTGGTGGGGTGGTACTAAAGAACTGTCCTTAAGTCATGATGCAAGCACTATCCTGGGCTGCCTATTTCCAGTAAGCCCTGATAACTCAGGTCATATTTATGAAGTTCCCCTTAACATGATGTTTGAAAAGGAACTAATCTTGCTTAAAATTACTTAGGACCACATGTTATAGATTGCTGCATACCTCTGGAAATGCCCAAAAAGGGAGATCCTCCTTTCTCCTTCCCATTAGCATATATATGATGCTCCTGAAAGTTAGCTCTGCTTCTCCTGTAGTCTGCTGGAAGGGTGAAATTTGGCCCCCTTCCTCACTTTTGTATTTGTCTAAATACTGTAAGGCTGCACTGCTGAGCACATGTGATCCAGTGGGACTGAAACTATGCTGACTCCATGTGTGTCCTGGGCTGTTGAAGCACAACAACTTTGAGGGGCAGTTGGCGCTCAGTGTACTGTCAGTTTCTGGGCATCTTAATTGCTATCTCCTGCAGCTGCAGTCCTCCCTGCCCACGTCATCTTCCCACCTATATCTATTTAATTGACCTCTGTATAGGGAGACAACAGAAGCTGGGATTGCCTAGGCTTCGTTGTGATACTCAGCAGTTCTGGCCAGGACAATCTGTCTGCCTGGACAGCTGCATAGGTGGTTGGAGTGTTCTTCATAGGGCCAAGAGGAAGACAGTTGTCCCTCAGCTTTTGATCCCACAACAGGGAGATCAGTCCTGGATTGAGACTCTTGTCCCAAGGCAGAATTGTCCTCTTGTCCCAGGAAGTTTACGCTATCTAGTTATTTCCAGATAGATAAAAGGGATACAAGGCAGAAGCTGGAAAGAAATATGATAAGGTAACAACGCTTAGAAAGTGTTTCAGGTGGTGTAAACCACAGGGGTGAGGTTCACTTTGCTTGGTAGTTTAAGGCTTTGTTAGCTCTAAAACCTATAGAACAGGTTCTTGTAACAAAGGTAATTGAGAGGATAAATGTTTCTTCAGGGTGATGCAGGTGTTGAAAAAGGCCAAGAGAAGAAGAGAAAAAAAAAAAAAGGAAAATGCAAATAGAGGTTCTTCTTACTGTTGCTGCCAGGCTGTTTGTCACAGCTGCTCGTGTACAGGTTTGAACCTTTCACTAAAAGGACAATTTATTTTATGTTGGCATACATCAAAAGTACAAAAATGCTTTGTCCTTGTTTAGGCCCAGTGAGAACAAGGAAGTGGGAGCACAGGATCAGAGGTAGATGTGTGGCCCTGGGTAGTTTGTGGTTATCTTTCCTTCGTGGTGCAAAGTCTACAGGATATTTGAAACGGAAGAAGTGAGGAGCTGAGAAAATCTATTGTTTATGGAGTGTAACATCGTTCTGGAGGTTACAGAAAGTTGGCCTTCCTGATATGAAGCAAGACTCTGGAATATTCTCAAACCAGCTTTGCAGAAACATGATGCTGCACTGTGTCTGCTAGTTCATGTAAGTGAACTTACATCTGAGTGTTGAGATCCATCACGCTTGGGCTTGTGGAAGACTTCAGAAAGCACATTCCCTTCCAGAGCTCATCAGAACTCAACAGAGAGGTCATGCTTCAGTGTGTCACTGTGAACTACTCCAGCAGTGGCAGGAGAGAAGGGTTAGACAGGGTATGGAAGGCTGGGCTGGTGAGGTGAAGAAGAGGACAGAAGTTGCACATAGTGGAAATCCTCATGTTTAAGGACAGCAACTACAGGGGATCTTTTGGGAGCACATTGGTAGGTCAGGATTTAGTTGGACTTGCTATGAAATCACTGGTGTATGCTGAAACTGGAGCTTCAGACTGGTCAAACGTCCTTGGCTCTACTCTGCACAGCAAGAATAGAATTAGAAAAATAGATTTGATCTGTTTTATCTAAGCAGAGAAGTGCTGTGCAGTTAACTGGAGAGACTGACTGTGAAGGTATGTGCTACTCTCCAGCCCCAAGATACTTAGCAATGAGTTAGAAACCAAGTGTGAGTGAGACATATGCAAAGGCACTTAATTCAGCACAGAAATGGATTTGAGATTGGTCTGCAAAAGTGAAAGGTCAATTCCAAATCCTTTGCTCATTCACACTGTAGGCAGGCAGATTCTCCCTGACTTTAATATGAAATTTGTCTAAAGATTGAAAGTGAGGAGCAGGGTGCCATGTGGTCTAGGGAGATTTAAGGAGTATAATTAATGTTCTTACGTGACACAATTCAGTGTGGCCATCCTGTCCCCAGCACAGCGGCAGCTGCTCCAGTGTGAATCCACTGTGATGATCCTCATCTGTACCTCGCTGTCTACAGACATTCTGGAGAAGAAAATCTCTTCTGAAGATTTTTCATGTTTCCTCTCATTTACATTCTCTTATTTCTTCAGTTTCATGGTGGAATTCAGCACAGCTGCAGGAGGACGTCACGAAGGGCTGCAAAAACAACTTTGAGTTTGGCCTTCAGACAATAGCAGAGGAAATGCAGGGCCCATGAGTCAAAGACAAATTTCATCTTGGATCATGATCTGGGGTCAAACTAGCATCCTTTCTGCAGGGCCGGCAGTAAGGGGGCCTGCTTGGACTCTGTTTTTATTTTCCTTGGTCACCTGATAAACTCACTGGATAAACTCACTGGAATAGGAGACTCATATAGCTTTCTATGGCTGATAGTGCCCTTGGCTGGAGCAGCAGCTGGGATTTCATCTTTTTGAAATAATGAGAGCAAGGGTCTCAGACAGTGAGCTCAGACTCAGCTCCTTTTCCTGAACTCTGATGGAAAAGGATGTCATCATGTGGGTCATTCTCCGAGACCCTTGTCAGTGTGGTTGATGGCAGCAGTTTGATCACATACGGAACCTGCAAACGCTTCCCAGTATTCCTCAAGCCCGAGGCTAAAAGGAATGTAGCATAACCATGTGAAAAGTGATCTGAGTAGTTCTTGAATGAATAAGTAGAGCAGCAACCTGCAGTGCTCTTTCTGTATTTAGGGAGGTGTTACCTGGAGAACCCAAAGGGCAGCTGCACTGGGAAATCACTGCCAGGAAGCAGCAGAGGCAGGGCTGCTGCATGAGAGGGGACAAGCTGGGACCTGGGGATGACTCCAGGACAAGCAGGACCCTCCGTGACCAAGGCACAGTCCTGCAGCATGTGATCAATACGGGCAGGGCAGGTGACTGGAGGCAGGATCCATCCTGATAGTCTCAGGCAAAGGGAGGGGATGAACAGTGTCCAGGGTCCGTTCTGGGAGTGAGGATGTGACACCAGGCAAGTGATGCCACCCCCTTCAACCTCTCTACATTCCTCCACTCCGGTAGGGTAACAGTACCCACCACAGGGATGCCCTACTGATTAACGCTTCTGCAATGGGATGATTCCATCTGAAAGGAATGACATAGGAAAGAAATCCTAATGAATATGTTTTCCTAGAGGTTTTCGTGGCATGCCCACTTTATAATTGTGTTCTGGAATTCTTGAATTCTGTTCTTCAGAATTCTGGAATTCTATTGCTGCGAAGAGGCAGAGAGGGTTAAAGGGTTGTATATGTAACAAATTCCCAAAACTGTTAATGAAAGAAAAGGAGAAAAGAAAGGAGCGTGGGTCGGATATGAATCTTTCTGTTGCTGGTGTTTTGTCAGTCTTTTGCTTCTGGGAAGGAGAATAAAATCTTTACAGGGACCAGATGAATCCCCACTGACTTCCTATAGGCTTTTCTCTTGCGTTGGGCTTGTAGTCAAACAGGACTGTGCTGCCTATGGCAGTTGCATGTTCTCAAGTCGTGCTACTGCTGTTAAACAAAATGTCATTGCAGTGAGCTCCAGCATTTGCCTTCCAGGGCTTTATCAAAGCACCTGGGAAGGCTGTTTCTGTTTCTCAGCTGCTTTGCCAGTTTGCATCTCGTACCACGCTGGCCCCGGTGCTACTGGCAGGTGTCGTGGCACAAAACCTCCCCGCGGGACAGCCAGGTTTGCTGTGGGTTTTGCCCTGAGGCAGTCTGTCCAGCTGTGAGCGACTAACATATGTCACTAATCTGGGAATATAAATTCAGACAGGTAGCTGCTCCCATACCTACCCTGTCTGAGCATCACCCCGTAACCTGACCACAGAGGCAGCCGTGTCTCATGTATCCAGTGGCTTTTATGGGGAGCAGGGCGTTTGTTCAAGGAACAAAGGTAGGAACCATCTGCTGAGCGGTTCCCTGTGCTCTGGCCTCACTGACACAGGCGGGATGCTGTGACACCCCCGAAGCAGCAGCTCGTCAGCCTGGTCTGCACTTGTTTAACTGCAGTGCTCGAAGCACTCTTCTTAGGGACAGCATTTTGTGGAGTCACGCTTCCAGGAGGTGTGATTCTAGCCCCTGAAAAGAGCAGATTAGAATAATCCATCACGCATAGGCAGTGTTGTTCTTGTGTCAAGCTTTGCATCTGTAGTTCTTCAAACTGAAGGTTGGCATCCACTGTCACTCCTACGGACTCAGGAGACAGGACATGCAGAGGATGGGTCCAGGGTCATAGAGGAAATCTAGGGCAGAGCTAATTATACAGGTAAAGCTCCTGATTCCCACCTTGGTACATGGCTCATAGCGCTGCTTTCCTTGGATGTTTGATTTTTGTAATTCTGTAGGAGAAGGAGATGCTCCTGTAAGGCCACATGATTCTTAATTGCTTTGTCCGAGATTTTTCCTCTCCATCACTTTTCTGACGTGGAAGTCTCCCCCAGCAAAGACAGAGCACAGGGGCAGTATGGAGAGTGTTGCATTAGACGCATTGCTTATAAAATGATGCTCCATATGGCTTGTTTAACACACTACAGTGCTGCACCTTTCCTTGGTACTCCTCCTATCCCACAATAAGGTTCTTGTACTTATGTAAATGAATGAAAGGTCACAGTGGCATCACGAAGTGGGCTAAGATCAGGAGCAGAAGCTGCCTGAGGTTTCCCTCTGTGAACAGAGAGCCTGGGTGTCAGAGCACACAACCCTGGTGCAGTGCATGAGAACAGAAATGGTTTTTTTTACAGAGAGTTTCATCTGTATCCTTGAAATGGGAATTCAGAGCCTTGAAGTAGTAAGAGTGAAGTTTTCCCTAGCTTGCTTTTAATCATTTAGTATTTACATTCCCATAGCCCTGAAAGGCCGTGGACAAGTTTACTTGTTGAATTATAAATTTGCAAACTAATTACTATGTGTTTTTATTTCTTTTTTTCTTTTTATTTTCTTTTAGTGCTTGGTTTTAATTACAGATGGTGGAACAGTCAGGCAGGCAGTGATCAACTGGCCACCTATCCTCACCCTGTGCCCTGTAGTGGCCCAAGATCCCAAAAGAGAGAGTCTGACAAACAATATCATGAACTTGAAGCTCTATGCAGAAAATATTGGATGGCCTGGTCCTTGTTAAGCATTTGGAAGCTGTTATGTTTGGGGGTTTTAACATGCTTAATGACAATAGGAAACAGAATGAATGGCTCTGCTTCATGCAGTGGTTTTCTTGACGTAATTAATGGTCTGAAATAGAAGGCAGGAATTGAAATAAACCACTCCCGTTCTTTTCCTATCCACCTCTGAGGTTCTGCAGACAAAGTCCTTTAAACTTTATGTGAGTGTTTATGAGCAGTTTTTCTCACATTGTATGTGGCTGCCTCCTAAACCTGATGACGCATGAATGTCAGGCCTCCTGTACGGACTTTTTCCTGCAGCTACTGTCTTCTCTTTTTACAGTAAGTTACAGTAATGTTTTTCTTCAGATTAGCAGGGAAGAAGCCTCTTCAGCTGCAGATTTTATTAAAAAATCTTCTGGACTTTATGTCTACTGGACAGTGACTTGTCAGGCAAATTCTTTAGTTCTTTGCAGTTTGGGTTTACAGAGGATGCTGCTATTTCATTCCTGTGTTTTAGCAGTGTCTGTGGAGCACAGTTTAGGAGCTTTGAAATAAACCAAATTTAAAGATGTTTGGTGACATTTACTAACATTTAGATCACAGGCAGAGGTAACTACACCCGGAGACGATTACGTGATGCCAAGAAATAGGCAACATTATTTAAGTGATGATCTCTGGTAAGCATCTCTTCTTGTTGGAGTGTGCTCAGCTGAAGGACTTGGTTAGTTCTTCCATTGAAGCACTCGTAGAGGCTACTGACTGGCTTATACAAAAAACTAATACTCAATTATTCTTAATAATTTCGTAATGATGAGGACTGTTGTACTTTGTGTCTGGACACAGCCAGGAATCCAGGCACAGTCTGAACTGGAATAGCTTCCTCCATGTCCCCTTCATGGTGGTCGTGTTGAGTAGTTAGCTAAATTGCTTAAGCAATTGATTTAATGTTTGGTTTAATGATAATTGGCTTAATGTAAACAGGCTGGTGTGAGCCAGCATCTGAGTAGAGATCCTGGACTAACGCATGGATTGGAAGTGGTCTGTAGCTTGGATTTAGTAGCTGTATGTTCAGAGGAGTTTAGGTCCATCCCAACTTTGCACTATCTAAAGGTTATTCCAATACTGCAGTCACCACTTGCTATCTGCTGCTCATCTATTACTGCGTGGAGCTGCACTGCACAGGGTCTGCCCCTCTCTGCTGTCACACCTTAGCTGCCCTTGAGAGGGCTGAACGAACCTTTCTGCAGGGCTGCTCTGGGTTCATTTTAGGTGTGTTGGCAACAGCTTGCATACATATTTACATGACTAAACAGGGGTGAATATTTGATAAACTTCCTACAGAAAGAAAATCTAGCACACTTGAGTAGTAGCTGCCCTTCCTTGGAACACTGGGAAAAGTATGTGCCTAAAGATGTCCTTGGGCAAGGAAGAGACTTGCAGGCCACATTTTCTGTCCTGATGTCCACAGCGCTCTCGGTCCTTGTTATCATGACTCTCTGCTCATATTATGCCTCCATCTTTGCTCAGTTTATCACTTTGTACTTTGTTGTGCCCTTTAGACATTGCATTTTAGCCGCCCTCCAGACCCAGACCTATTGATATTCCAGGTGAGTGTCCCGTTTGGTAACAATAAATCTCTGGGGTGTTGCTAGACCTTCAGTTTGGGGTCCCATGTTGTTGCTAGAGCCCCGAACAGCAAGATCTTTGGTATGGTCCACTCTGGAAAAATAATATAGAAATTATATAAAAATGGATACGTAGATAATGCTGCTTTGACTGCTGTGCTGCAGAGAGGCACAGAGAGATGTGGGCTGCTCCAGGGGCTGGGTGTAGCCTGGAGCAGCTACAAAGACCATTACATAGCAGAGACAGATCTGAGCTATATATAGCTAGCTGGTAGGCTCAATAGGATGGATTGAGCCCGTCCCTTAAATGGGTAGAATTACATCAGAATGCTATGAGTTTTGGGGAGGAAAATGCCTGTGACATCTATCTTTGGCCTTTCTTCTCCAGTTTGAAGAAGACAGGAAGGGGAGTAGCTATTGCCCATGGCTGGAGGGGCTGCCTGCAATTCAAAAAGGAAATCAGAAATAGGAAACAGAGTTGAGACTTGCCTACAGAAACGCTGAGTTCTTGGGTCAGTCCTTTGCACAACACTGCATTCGAGGGGGCTTTGTGGAACAGAAACAAGCAGCCTCCTCGCGTTGCTGTGCAAGATGCTGCTGAATCAGCTGAGAGCTTTAAGATCAGATTCAGGCCCTGGGCAGACCTGTCGTTCCTATGTGCTTGTTGAGCTCACTGGTGCTTAGAAGTCTCAGGAGAAGCTAGGGGTAACTAACACAGCATTTTCTGATGCTGCTTTGTCGATGCTAGCAAGAAAATGCTAATATCTGAGGTGTGTTCTGGATGCAGCTTTTAATTCTCTTTGTGTATCTCATAAGTGGAAAAATAAAAGTAAAACATATCTCTCACCCATATGAGTATATATCAGTATAAGTAAATACATGTGCCTGTTTTTATCTGGAATTGCACTGACATAAACTGCACATCAGCTTTTCACCAATTCCATGAGGAATTCGGTCTGTTTATCCAAACTCAGCATGACTGTATTGGGGAAAGGAAATGTTTTGTGAGATGCTGCTGGAAACAATGCTATTGCTAAATATAAGCAAGTAAAAACACAGTCGAAATGGGTTGTGCTGTAATTTTTGTTTCCTGTTTTACCAATTCTATTTTTTGCCTTTCTTTCCCTACAGAGCAATTCAATTAAAACTTCAAAATACAACTTCTTCACTTTCCTGCCTCTCAACCTGTTTGAGCAGTTTCAGCGAATAGCCAATGCTTATTTTCTTTTCCTGCTGATTTTGCAGGTAGGAATTCACTGTGCTGTTTCTAACCGATTGTGTTGTCTGTTATCAAAGGCTGGCTCTGGCTTGCTAATTGTAATGAAGTGCAAGCTATCCGCCTGGGAGGGATGAGCATCTCAGCAAAGCCTCAAACTAGATAGAAAGTAGGGCAGAAAAAACAATTTCTTCCATTACCTTGGAATATGAAAGCTTGAACTAAATGAAAAAAAATTTAATTAAAGTTTTCAACAGGTTATGAGCGTTTTTATGCCCTGCCCTTCTGGCTCTTTGTGCCTGCATCTGAAGAAGAACAGATTTTGCCTGGAAAGGAGGGAGTTAATGTCAGGAAGGCTGACAGTGGCACCTAGTTTGCCTAGAGCCAAATATTGCTCTCTGCTCGGTTGGGAGAGGCAGGTCTCTAATATGGAGCGTGTCTAACAGCGGCGACGCTCTTGCACCCTGCAGCTCTCAATGGCACAGTTGCACTTTGCCCAGTGCTGCTGATAATGCTGCTGTTTCTGAAAGCTGAGCATATCAGAGCAGTTGATATCAGTATTTCTGCCCTTTTAAATTTTGCTAGAATACGGATAAAAGCTGTATACTTTGTCATTTCTGAGTCATATTGGAATACACATAATCAAGAAAAGGTTTTGTTTTTAATATATGATAGTATAATATTTTAAATGTAATCATTTCAGTGCAAACAAGTTTGCAAAACAATCTTTTCCAGACCATCTTTTTCTCTCTTAGGTCTAAAATGTGTAGGCAAAATTCTGTTAAGGCTAGAGCAAACTATACACAATCTTCTTTGCCTGTTTACAGAGCCCAAAATTGGGAAATTTCAGCCCACATGTATATTTTGCAAGAAACTAGTTTATAGTAAAAACCATATTTTCATCTAAGCTGACAGTCCTGCTCCTGTGTTGTACTGCACTCTAGCTGTTTGTCAAATTTAGAATGTTTCAAGCCATTAAATTCCTCAACTGTGTCTTTTGCTGAACCATTTAGAAGTTAATTTATTTAAAAAATGTATAGCTTTTCTGCTTTGTTTATCAAAGTAGGCAAGTATATCCCTTATCTGCTGTGTCCCTGTAGGGCTGACAGAATCTCTGCCTGCATCCAAAGCAGTTTTGAGGGACTGGCTTGCAGGGACTTTGCCTCCCACTCCATAGGCAGAGCCCAGTGCAACGTGTCCCCCCAGTTAGGGGACAACATAGAAGTTAGGTGGCTCTGCACCCTCCACAGCTGCACAGGGCTGCTCTTGGCTCTGCACCTCATTTCCTTTGCCTGGATTTGCTGATGCTTGCAAATCTAGCACAGATCTTGGCTGCGACAGTGGAGCAGAAGGAGTGATCCCAAAAACCAGCTCTGCAGTCTTAAGAATCCAGCTCTTTTAGTGGCAAATCTGTCACTTTGATCATTCCCATGGAGTTGACACTGCCCAAAAACATTCTAATGGACATGATGATGCTGGAGTCACATTGCTTCCATCATTAGTGCTGGTCTTCTAGAGGAAGGAAAGAGCTGTGCTGGGGTAAGGCATCTTTGTATCAGTGACAGCAAAAGGGCTTTGACCAGCAGTTATTTTCAATTCTTAGGTCCTCACACTAGCAAAACTGTGGGAAGCAAAAATGGCTCTGTTGATCTAGTAAGGGCAAGGTCAGCTCTGGCAACAGCTGCCTGTTGTTTATTGACATGAAGTTTTCTGCAGCAAAACAACAAGAGTTACAGAAACAAAAATAGAAGCCTCTGAAGGGTCTGCACATCAAGCCTTGCTTAGATAGCTGTGTCCCTCTCACCAGGCTTGTCCATTGCAGAGTCTCTAGCAAAAATCCACGGAGGAATTTGTAATTCTAATGGTACAAACAACAAGGGAGAGCAATCCTTTGCTGAAAGCTCAATTTTTATATCCTGAATTACAGCTACACTTGTAAGCAAAGCATCGTGTCTCTGGCTCTTCCACTTCGTGGGGTGACATGTAAGTGACAGGATAGCATCTCTGTCTTGATTCTGTACTCAGATATCATAGAAAAGTGTAGTCTGTAGCTTCCCCAAAATACAGGGTTTTATTTCCTTCTTTTTACCGAACTAAAAGGAAACGTCTCAACCCAGATCTCTCTTTTATTTTTATTTTTTTGTCCTGCAGCTGATTCCTCAGATTTCCTCATTGTCCTGGTTTACGACAGTGGTGCCCCTGGTGCTGGTGCTGACTGTATCAGGAGTCAAGGATGCCATCGATGATTTCGTAAGATTACTGCCCTGGACTTCAGAGTTTGCTCAGTGCTCTTCAGGCCTTTGACTAAAGCAAACTATTGAAAACAAACACAGCCAGTGGCCTAGAGCTGGAGAATTGGTCTGTGGCCAACATGGGGGGCTGAGATTAGATTCCCAAACCTATATACTTCGTTACCTAAAAAGGACCCAGAATTTTTTGATTGCTGAAATTCCAAGCTGCAGCCCAGCAGCTCCATTGGTTTTCTGTGGAACTGGTTAGCCTGTCTGCAAGTATGATAGAAATACTTGACTACCTGCACAGGAGTCTATTCTTAGGCTTCCACTTTGGAAACCCATTCTCTGCTATCTACATCCTTTGCATCTATGTGTAGGGAGCCTCATGCTAGGAAAGCACATTTGGTAGAAATTATATATGCAATCTGGATGTGGTTTTTCAGGCTTGCCCAGCCTTGGCTGAAATTTGCTCCCATCAAAGCCAGTAGTAAAAGTTCCATTGACCACAGTGAGTAATACTAGGCTGAAGCTGAGTTTAGCACTTGATTTTTGTCTGCCTCTTTTTTTTTTTTTTTTTTTAATCCATTTGACACCCTAGCTTGGTCTGGGGAGACGTAGTGCCATTTTTGTGGAGTATAAGTGGTCGGGGATGGTAAGAAGCTCTCCCAGGAAACAATACTAGAACATTTGTGGCCACTTTCCATATCAGAGCAGGGGAACGAATTTCTCTGGATTCTTAGTTTACAAAACTCTGATGGGGCGGACCAATCTCAATGGAGTCAGGACTGTGCTAAGTGGCACACAAGATCTACACTCCTTCCTCTCTCTAAGAGCAAGCCCCATGTCACCTTCCTATCTGCAATCCAGCTATGCTATGTCCTGCTAGTGAAACATCATCTCAGCTGAGATTCAGCTACAGCTTTAATCTGTCTTTGCATTCGTGCCTGTAGTGACATTGCCATTTATTCCAGTTGGCTGAAACATAAAATGTTAGCATATTGCCTAAAGATGTTGTATGCTTGATTTCCGGGAAATGTTTTTTGATAATGCTGATCAACTTTCCAGAATCGACACAGAAGTGACAACCATGTCAACAACCGCCCCGTCCAGGTGCTGATCAATGGCATGTAAGTCTTGTCTCTTCTGCTGATATTTCAACTGAATATTTACCACTGGGGAGAGCTTTTTATTGCTGTTTTGTGTGTCCAAATGATTCTCCAAAGCACTAAGTTCCCAAAGAGCACTAAGCAATATAAAATGGAAGTTTCTTTCACTTTTTTTTTCACAGTGCTCAGTGGCATCCTGGTCTACTGATTAAAGTATCTAAAAGACAGTACCACAATCAGTGTAGACATTGCAGCTGTAGCCCTGCAAAGAAAAAAAGTAAACTATTTATTTTCCATTATCCATATATTTTTAAATAGATAATGCCTTGAGAGTATCTTGTTATTTTACTCTACCCTAGAGATGCCAAGCAAGTCCATTTGTGTTTATTTCTGAGCCAAGCAGAGCTAAACATAATCAACAAGTGTTTTTAGATGAATAAAAACACGAGTCACTTCTCCATGCATGTTTTAATGCTTTCAGTGTGTCTACTTATGCATGAAATGCTTCTGCCTTAGAGGTATTCAAAATATTCCAGCTGTATGTCTTAGGTATTGTATTGCTGGCCCTGTTTTTTCCATCAGGACAAAGGAAAAAAACAAAAACCAGAATCTTTGACTTTCATAGCAGACAGATGAGCTCTGTTCTTGCAAGTCCGTGGAGTCCAAGTGTCCGTAAGACACAGATTTTGACAGCTGTGAAGTCCCTGGTGACTCTCCTATTTTTTTTCTGTACTATAGATAGCAGTACATTGTATAAACGCCAACAGATGTTTGAACAGTTAAAAATATAATTGGAAACTGAAGAACAGGAACATAGTTCTTGTGTTTTCAGCTAAATAACCCAGTTTCTTATTCTACTGTGTATTAGTTACTGTGTCTACTGAGCATTTATTTTGAAATACAAATTTGCTAATATTCTGACGGTTTCAAAAAAAACGAGAAACCAAGTCCTGCCCAACACTGACTTAAAACAAATAAGAAAGGACTGAAATGAACTCAAGCTTGAATCCCAGCACTATTTTGAAATAGCTCCTTTTATTTTTCATCTGGAGGTTTTTCAGATACAGCTAACATGATTTGTTTGGATTGGCACTTGCCATTTAGCTGGGCATCTTCATTAGCACCACAAAGGCCATTGCGGGCACTGGCTTCACCAGCTGTAGCACTTTTGACTGCAAGTCCCTCTCAGAGGCAGATTTGCAGCTCTGGCCCTTAACCTGGCTTAGAGAAACTAGCATACCTGGCAGTTTTCCCAGTCTTCTGGGATATCTGTTGTAATGAAGGAGAGAATTCTTTGTAAGCCAGCGTCGCTCTCCACAGAAAGGAGTAATCAGTCTGGACAAGGCAGTGCATATGGACTGTGTGCTGTTGTGAGGCCTGGTTTCAACCTTACATGTGTCACCTGCACCTGCAAGGTTATGACTTGTGATAACGACCACTATTATTACTATTCTGTAGCACGATAGTCTCTTAGAGCTTAGCATGGACCAGGCCACAAGCTGGCAGGGCCTGCTCTATTTACCTGCAGTTCAGTTCCTCACAGCATTGCAGTCTGGCTTCAGGAGCAGAGCTGAGGCTCCTAGGTTCCTAGTGCATTTGCTTGATGTGCTTATTAAAAGGAGTTTCCTTGCAGGTTGAAGGATGAAAAATGGATGAATGTCCAAGTGGGGGATATAATAAAACTAGAAAACAACAACTTTGTGACAGTGAGTACAGTTTCTCTCCATTGTGTGCCCGATTATCCTCCGTAATTACTTTCCTCACTCAAAAGTGGTGTGGTTGCTTTCCAGCTGTGTTAGCTCATGCCACATCTGTTTGTCTGTGTTCAGGCCGATCTACTGCTACTGTCGAGCAGTGAGCCACACAGTCTGACATACATCGAGACAGCTGAACTGGATGGGTAAGTGAGCCTGGCCCTCGAGCACAACCACTGCCACTCACACAAGGCCATATCTTGTGGTGACCCGTGATGCCATGAAGAGAAGCTCTGTGTCTCTAGTGCCAAGTTCAGAGGTGATTCACAAGAGCTGTCACCGTGTATCCTGCTAGGTCAATGGCCAGGATTGTGCATGGTTAGTGAAGATTAGTTGTATTTGCCTGCTGTTTTGTCCCTCATCGTTTCTGCACTGAAACCACCTAAAAATGGTGCAGAAACCAGTGCAGAAACCACCACTGCCTAGGGCATTTCCCTACCCTGCACTTCTATTATTTGCCAAACAGTTGAAAGTTATTTCAGCTTTCCTGCTAGGTAGGTTTATCACTAGACGGAAGCACAATTGCTTAGCTCCAACATGCTGCACGGAACAGTTGCTATCAGATCCATTATTTATTCAGTCAAGCAATTACCTGATGTGGGATGCAGGATTAAATCAAAATGCACCTTGTTACCTATGATGGCTTTTGTAGCAATAGTTTCTTAATACTTAGAATAATCTTCAGGTAAGTGTCTTGGAAAACAATGTCTTCTGGTGGATATCCTTCACTCTTGCAAATCAGAGGCTTTGTACCCTCTGATTTTTAGTTCCCCCAGCACTCAGAGTTAGCTTACATTTATTCCCAAAATATCTGAAGTCACTGGCAGCAGTCTTCTAGTTTTTATGTCTGCCTTAGTCTTTCCTCTTAACCAAATTATTTAGATGAAGTAATCACAATGAGTAGCTCCAAAAATTTGGCTGTACAACAGCTGTTGTACAATCTGCTATATCCATGCACATAGCAAAGGCATCCAAACTTTGCTTTTTGCAGGCTACAAGTGGCCACAAGTTAGAGGGGCTGCAACTAATTTGTATTAATTGGAATAAACTGGAGATGACCTTGTTTATGATGCAGTTTGCATACCTTTTCTGTATTGGCTGGAGCCATCCTCAGTTTGGCCTTGTTTGAACAACCAAATAAAATGAGAGAGACCCAGTCTCTCCAGACAGCTGCTACACACAGCGATTTGGACTTTCTTCTTCTACTTTCTACTGAAAATGAGCCTGTAGCTTTGGCTCATGTGAGTGCTGGGGAAAACTTCTCCAAGGGCCTGACCACATGAAGTGCTTCTCTAACATTGCAAGACCCTCATTTTCAACTCATTCTGTAGCTAACTAGTTCCAGGGCTTTCAGTAATTTTTAGGGCAAGAGTATCACACAGGAAGACCCAGAGCTCTCCTGTATGCTCAGATACCTCAGGGCTGTATGGTATGAGTAGCAGCATAGACAGTTTGCTGCTCAGGGAGATGTGATGCTCAGTCTTACCCTTTGCAGTGCAATTCAGAAAACAGAACCAACTCACACTCTTTGCCAGAATGTCCAACATTTTTGAATGTTTTTTTTTTGGAGCAGGAAAAGTTAATAATATTGTTATGACCAGTTAAAAACAGCCCTTGACGATATGATTCATCAGGTGTCTGAGGAGGAAGACTATCATCGGGGACCTTTCAGGAGAGCTGGACTGATGCTTTTGTGTCTTATGTACTTTATTACAGTGAAACAAACCTCAAGGTGAAGCAGGCACTGACAGTCACTTCAGATCTTGGAGAAGACCTTCAGAAACTGACAGAATTCAATGGTGAGTCTATGTAGAAAATTAAATCCCAAAGCATTTTCCCAGTCACCAAAGCCCAGAGAGAGTTTTGGTGTCTCTTTCCAGGCTATCCCCTGCTCCCTGAGTAGGACTTCTCTGGGTGTAACAGCAACAAAACAGAACTGGAACACTGCAGTCTCTGCAGTGGATAATAACAGGGTATATAGAGGAGAAGATTCTTCTTTGCTTGTGTGTGTCTCAGGTGCCAGGTATGGATACTGCATTAAAGGGCATCGGGGACAAACTCTCCCTATAGTTGCCCCCTTTTCTTTAGCATCTGTCAGTACATGCTGAGAGTTATTTTAATTGTTCAGTGGGAACTGTGTTCTCAGCAGTGATATCAGACCAGTGGATGCTGATGCTTCTGTGAGGCTGCACTTCCTCGCTGCAGTGCTGATCTGAGGACTGACTCTGCTCAGTGCATGCCTGACGCAGGACTGACCTCCCAGCTTTACACTGCCAGTATTTCTCTGCTCTTGCAGTGTCACAACAAAGACAGTGTTTTGTTATAGTTATAGATGCACAGTGCAGATGCGGCTAATGGACAAGATGTCATTTTTTAGCACTGTTTTCTCTGTCATAAACATATAGCAGCTCATACACAGAAAACAGCCAGATGTGTTGAAAGCAGAGTAATGCAGGCTCACACAGTTGTGTATCTGGCAAGAGGATGGGCCAACGAACCCGTTGATGTCAGCTGTGTTTTGCACTGCCTTGCTGGCTTAGATATGTGGGCAGGATGGCAGAAGGAGTCTGTATGGAAAGACGTGGATTTGAGTATTACTGTCCCTGTAGCTTCTCAAGGACACCAGATTCTCAGGAAATACTTTTAGATAAAGATGAAAAAAAAAAGAAAGAAATAACTAGACAATTCTAGGACTTATGGTGAGGATGTGTCAGAGATCTGGCATAGCTTGGACACTTTCTGGCAACACTGTGCAAAAACATGGACTTTTCTTTTGATTTTGATTGAGATTTTATGCAATATGTTTCCTCTCAGCTGAGTGACAGCTCAGTACATCAGGACTTCTTTGAAGTCAATGCTGAGGTTCTGAGTGTTTTAGTTCTTGAGAAATATGCCCTTTCAGTTGCCTTAGAAGCTTTACATGAATAATCCCAGTTGCGTGTCTAACCTCTTTTCCTGAAGAGACTGACATGGGTGTCAATTTTGGAAGCAAAATCTTCATATTGTATCATTTTTCAAAAATCTTCTTTGTGATGCTATCTAAGGATACTTCAATTTCAAAACTGCATAATTATGAAATGCTTCAAAATCTCCTGGAAAATTAAGACTTTTCATATGTAACATTTATTTACTCTCTAAATCTGAGTCATGTTGTAAATAGATGTGGCTTCTTTACAATACTTAAAATGAATAAAATATTTCCCAGGATGATTTATATTTGGAAGAATACTGGGAAGAGAGCCTGGAATCGGACCTAACCCTGCATTTCCCTAGCTAACCTCTGTAAAAGTATTTAAATATTTATGTAACTCTTCATTTAATTACTACTTAGGACAGGAAGAGAGGGAAGGGTTGAGCAGCTAATAAAGGCACTGGATGGAATGCTTCATGTCAGTTATGTTTGTTGACATTGTGATAGCTCAGATAAGGGAGATGCCTGCAAAAAGATGAGCTGCTTTATTTGATTTGGGGATCTGGGAGATGAGAAACGAAACAGAACTTCGCAGTTAGCTATCACTGACTGCATATAGGCCTTTTCAGTGCTTAACACATTTGGGTGAAACACATGCAGATAATGGTAGGAGACAGGAGGTACCTTGGTAGGGTATCTTCAGTTGCAGAATTACCAGAGTCGGTACAGATACATTGGATGAGTCTCTGGAGCATCTTGTTTTTTGATGACCATTCTGACTTGAAGAAATCCCTTCTGATTTTGCTCTCAGCTTATCAGGAATGTGGATCCACCCCCTTAACTGGAAAACAGCTCTGGATGCTAACACACAAACTGCTTATAAGAGCACTGTGGCAGAGTCAGCAGGAGGAGAGGCACCGTATTCCTAGGAAGGGACCTTCAATGCCTGAGTCATGCCCCAGTTTTGGTTTACCAAAGTTTCGTTCTGTTCTCTTTCGGGTTACACTGCAAAATCTCTGTTTTCTCTGTACTTTTCAAGGATTGCAAAGGTTGTAGTGAGGTAGGCCTGGCTGCCCTAGGTTTTTTAAGAATTTGGAATGCAGGTATAATTATTTTTAGATGAAATAGGTGATAAAACAGAAGATCACCATAGTTATTAGTATAAGCTCTGCTACCACTTGTGTCTTGGAATTTCCTATTTTTGCATCATTTGTCTAGTCTTATAATTAACCTGCACCAGAGTATGGCCAGGAAAAGAACATCTGTTCCTGATTTTAAAATTTGCTGCCATGAAAACACTGCTATGAAAGCTAATATACTTTTTTTCCTGGATTTCTCTAGATTTTACTTCCAATTTTTGAGCTTGATGTGTATTCTCTGAGAGGAGCTGGAAGAATTGTATGCTAGGCAAATGCTAGTCCTTATATTTTCAGTCTGTGATCAGAATATCTTACATCTGTTGATAAACAGAATAGAATAAGCTGTTGGAATCCCTTTCAATAAACTGTATTTTCTAGTTCTTTCCAATACTGGAAAGAACTTGAGCTCTTTGAATCTTTAATGTTGTTGTAAGTATTCATTTTAATAATAATTTTTATGCTGAAATATGTGTGTTGACAGCATTGTGTGAACACATTTTATTATAAGAAATAAATATGAAAAGTGGAAATAGAAACAGTCTTTCATGCAGTGTCAGCTGTAGAACCAAAGGTGCCAGCTTCTTTTCTCAGTGACAGTGGGACTAATGGTATGAAAGAGTTGAAATTAGAAAATAGTGAGCAAAGACACCTACCTCATTTAATTACTCTCTTGCAACCTTCAGGCATCAATATTCTCATTTCCATCAAAGAAAATGGTATAAGAATTATGTGAGGTCAGCAATTGTTATCTGAAATTATCCAGTGACATCCTACCATTATGAACTTGCTGTAGAAGGATTAAAAGTATGTTGCTGGTTCAACATTTCTTCTCACCCACATATAATAACTGTAAACTTCGTGTTGGACTCTATCAGCACAAATTGCTATGCTCAGGGTAGGATAAATACAAATCCTTTGTGGCCCATTTAATTATGAAATGAAAATGGGAAGAGCAGTATCCCAAAACGTAAGTAACTTTAGGCTAAAGGATGGTCCTGATGATCCAGGTGGTGAACATACTCAGCTAGGAAACAGCTGAGTATGCAGTATGTATTGACTGCATATGTGTTGACCATATACACTTCTAAATGAGGAAGTTTTCCACCATCTTCTCTATTCTTTTTTTTACAGGTGAAGTCAGATGTGAGGCACCAAATAACAAATTAGATAGGTTCGCAGGAACTCTTACTCTTCAAGGAGAGAAGTATGCCCTGGACAATGAGAAGATGCTCTTGAGAGGCTGTACTATTAGGAACACAGAGTGGTGCTTTGGTCTCGTTATTTATGCTGGTAGGTTGAAAGCTCAATGTGCACATTGTGAATTGCAGGGCACAGCAGCATGAGGATGTAAAACACAGGCAGCAGAAAGCAGCTAAATATTTTTCTCTTCAGAAAATCTGTTTCAGACGGGTACAAGAACAAGAGGAAAACTATACATGTGATCTTTTGACTGAACTCCATCCTAGAAAATTTGCATGTTACAGATTTTAATCTTGATTTTTTAAATAATGATCTCTAAGAGAAATCTGAATTGCAAATGCTACGTTATAACATCCAATGCCACCCTGATGGATGGCATTAAAGCAAAGGCCAAGACTTACTCTGTAAAGTGCCAAAACTTATTCTATAAAGTCTTGCAGGAAATAACATGAAAGAAATGTTGACTGATCAAGCAGTGAGAGAGAATTAGATCTGCTTAAGGATGCACTGACCAAGAGGAAACTTTTGTATCTCCAGGCATGTTCAAAACTTCCCACTCTGTAGTGTATAATTTTAAAATATATACCAGTTTTATATGATTGCAGTCCCTAGTAGAATATGGGGATCGCTAGTGATATTAGATTATTAGATCTTTGCTTTTTTGTGAGTACAGATCATCTCTTGTTTCTATAGTGCTACAGATACTTGATACTGTGTGTAATATACCACTAAAAATAGAGCGTATCAGGTATTCCACAAAAAGCAATTAAATATTAAAGGGAGACTTAGCTGTTGACAGAAAAGAGCAAGATCAAAATCCTGAATGAATGGTTTTATATATGAGTCTTGCCATATGATCTAAAGCAAGTGATTTAATCTTTTTTTTTCCTAAGTTTTCTACCAACACCATTAACCATAAACACCTGCCTTTCAAGCACCTGCCTTTCAAGAAGGCTGTGATGGGTATTTATGTGGTATTTATGTTGCAAAGCACTGTGAGGCAGAGGGAATCAGCTTCTGAACTGTTAAGCATTGTTGCTAGAAATCATGAGTGTATTTGATCTCCAGGGCCAGACACCAAGCTCATGCAGAACAGCGGGAAAACGACTTTTAAACGGACCAGCATCGATCGACTTATGAATGTGCTTGTGTTAGTGGTAAGTTTCTAAATGCACCTTCTCTTTGTCCTCACAAGTGAGGGGATATCAGAAGTGACTAATGATAATAATGATAAAAGGAGGAATTTTGTAAAAGTGTAGTAGCATACAGTCTGCCTTGCCTTGGCCAGCTCATTTTACCCAAACAAGGTCATTCAATTGACAATGATATGGACTTTTCCTCTGAACTTCTTATATTTGCTGCTTGCTCTCTCTGTCTTTTTGTTTCTGCTTTTTCCCTCCTATTTATTTATTTATTTATTTATTTGGTGGGGGTGGGAATCATTTTGAAGCTTGCAAATGCTTTCTTTTTTTTCCTGGTAATTTTATCTTTTTCTAAAACATTTTTGTGTTAGACCATTCTTCATGGTGATTTCTTGGCCTCTTTGGTGTTATCTGCATGGGCCTTGGTTTTGTAATCAGATCCATTGATGTATGCAATGTTCTGATTTAGCACATGAGGTTAAAATGTTAGACATGATTTCATTAACACCCAGAAACTGCTGTTTTCAGCAGCTGGCCAATTTGAGAACAGTAATCTTGTATAACAGGTACCCTCCACAAATTAGAGGACTGATCGGACTTGAGGTTTATGCTTGTCTGCAGTTTTAGCAAATGACAAACTTTTCCACCTGGAGATGTTGAATTTCCTACAGAAACCCTCCCTGGACTTTACCACTTGAGCTGAAAGCCACTCAGGCAAGGGACTGTTTTGATTGCCAGTCTTCAGAGACATGCTTTAATCCATATTAAAGGCTTTTGAGACTGCTTTAATCCACACTGCTTGAAGAAAAGCTCCTTAGTTTCATTCAGGCCTTTATTTTCTTTTGGATGCAGTTTTGTCAACGTTTTCCATGCATGTTCAATTCTCCTGTCTTTAGCTTATGGAAAGGACTGGCCATGCCTCTGGTTACCTCTTCCTATGCTTCTTCTTACGCTTGCAGCATCCACTGTTCCCACTTCTTCCCTCCTGCCCTTGCTCTCTGGCCACACTGGGGCCAGGATTCATCCCCCTGGCACTGGATAGGCCCTGGGGAAGAAGGAGATGGAAACCTCCCCCAGCAGCCTGCCCAGTGCGAGGCCCTGTGGTTGCCTCTGCTGAGCTCTGCCTTCCCTCGTTGGCTTTGCACCTCTTCAATATGGGCGCTTATAGCACATATATCTCTAAGCTTCCTCCTCTCTCCATCCTTGGTATTTTATCCCAGGCCCTTCCCTCCTGTTTTCTTTCCTTAGAATTGCACAAACTCCTCAGCTGCTCAGTCATAGGAAGAGTTCGCGGTGAGCGGTGCCCGTGCCAGAACACAGGCTGCGTGCAGCATGCTGAGAGGTCCCAAAGGGCACCAGTTAGACGGGCTCCAGAGCCACTACAGTGGCTCCCTGAGCATGTGCAGGAGCGTATTTGCTATAAGGTCCTGTGATTGCACAGAGAGCAGCTCTGTGATGGTCTTCAAGCACTCTTGAGTCCTTCTTCAGTGCACAGTATGGACGTTCACTCTCTTGACTTAGAAGCAATACACCGATCTATGCCAAGAGAAATGCTTGCATGCCATCATGAGCACATTTCCCACAGTATGTTGTCTCCTCACTTCGAGGGGCACAGAAAACAAGGAGGTGAATGTAGCCATAATGAAAACATTCAGCATTTTGCAGGTGTTTAGGAAACATCCCGTTTTCTTGGCTGGTTTGAGAAGGGGGAAGGGTTGCAGGGTTGAGCTCCGTGGCATCCATAGTGCAAGGAAACAGAGCAGAGAAAAACTGATCGGGAGCTTAGGATGTAGAGCTGGGTTCAGGTTTGCCTGCTCTTTCACAAGCTAAGGGTCCCACCCAGAGCTTTCAGACTGTCTGGCCTCTCTTTGTAAATGCAAACAAGATGATTTTAGCTGCTGGCTCTGCTTTAAAAAACTGAGCATGTTGCAGTTGATTGCATCAGCCTCTGCCTGGATTCTTCGGCACTGGTGGAGTCAAATGTGTATTTTTTATGTATTTTTAGGCACCTCACACTGTGGTGTCTAAGTACAGTTCTACCCTAACCACCAGGTTCTTCATGGCCACCACCAACCACCAGAGGCAATGTGGCACGAGGTCCTTCCAGCTCACTGGGCAGTCAAAGTTTACAAAGCACAGCCATAAAAAGATACAGTGTGTTGCTGCCTTTAGTTTGGAAATAAAAAGCAGCCACAGCTTTCTATAAATAGCTCCTTTTAAGTGAACTGAAACTTCTGTGTTAACACAGGCAAAGCTGTTTTGTGTTTAATTGTCCATGAAACTTCCCGGGACGTAACAGTGTTTAAACACATCGTACAGATAGAGTCCTGGTTAAATGTAGCCCTGTGTGTCTCAACAAGGGTTAATCAGGAATAAACCTTTCCATATGGAAAGCTTTTTTTCTTTTTTTTTCTCTCCTTTCTTTTCTTTCATGTTTGGGAGTATTTCCCCTGCAGGACTCTGGCAGCATAGCACTGAAATCAGAGGGAGAGGAACAAAGTATTTTTCAGAGATCTCAGAGAGAAGTGAATGTTCCTTGGCTGAGGACACACCCGGCAGCACCACGAATGCATTTTGCTCGGAGACTTGCTTTTTTCATACACTCAGGCAAGCTCATTTTCAGAAAAATGGAGCTTCACTGTTGGCTCTAAATGCCTTATTGCTTCAAATCCACGAAAGGAGCTCAAACTGCCAATAAACTAATGAAGAAACAGTAACAGTCTTAGTCTGACATGAAATATCTGTCAAGGATCATCTTCTCTTTATTACAACAAAAATAAAATAGAAACAAACACACATAAAAACCCCATCTACTCCTGCATAGGATGTTCTAGCCCCAGAGAGAGCAAGAGGATGTTCACAGTGGGAAGCCCCATGAGCATGTGCAGGGCTCTGATCTGGTTTGTTCACATCCTTCTGTTACAGAGGCAGCTCTAATAATTCCAACAGCCTGTACAAGTTAGTTCTCCTTATGGAAATAAATGTCTGGGGCTGCTGTTGGGTCACCAGCTCAGACTTTCACATTTGTCTGAAGTAAATAGTGTGTTAGTGATCCTTGTATAAGCCTGACTGCTGCACACAAATCAAACTGGTTATGGATGACAGCAGATACACAACATGCACATAAAGTGGCATGTATATAAGGCAGGTGCCCCAATCGGGCCCAGGGACAACAGCCACTGTGATATGGGGAAGTTTGGCTGCTGTCCAGCCCCATATTTATTTCTGCTGCTAAATCATACTTGTTTCCACGTGGAATTTGCTACGTAGAAGAAGATATTCTAAAAACTTTTTAACATGTGGGTCCTCGTTCAGGAATCTTCTAAATATAATGATAAAAGACCCAGCTGACTCTTCTAGTTCATCTCTCTTGCAAGAGATTAGGTATCCAGAGGGAAACAGTATCTTCCATTTATTTATAGGAAAATGGACAAGCTTGTCTATTTTCTCCATCTATGTCCATTACCCATCCTTGGGTCATGCATATATTAAATCCCTAAATCATCATGATTGTAACAGCAATTTGTAGTCTGTTTGTAGCCACAGAGGTTGAAATGCACCACATCACATTCCTTACTAGTTGTCTCTGTTTCAGAAGTGGAGTAATATAATAGAGTTGATAGAATTCAATAGAAATGCTACTACTGCTGTGGGAATAAATTGACCTCCTGAGTATGATCCAAGCACTTTTACTTAGCACAGCCTTCTTATCATCTTCTTGATATTCAACTAATTTTGGTAGAGTGCAAACTTTTAACCACTCTCTAAAATGATTTTTCCTCCCCTCATAGTTTACCTCAGTAGTCTTTATGAGCAAAAGTTTCTCTGTTTGTACCTCAATTTTTTTTTTTAAGTTGTATTGTAATGACTATTACTGAGTGGACTTACACATCATGTCCCAATTTACTGACATTTCCTCTTTAATGACCACACTTGCAAGAGATCACATTTAATCTTGATTTGTGCTGCCAGCTGATTCCATATCATCGTGTTTGTATTAGGAGTTGGGTCATCTTAAGTCAAATGGAAAAGTCCAAATGGTCTATATCAATAGAACTACTTTTATCATCATTTCTCAGGAATTATGTCACTCTAACTTCAATTTGTCTTTCCCACGGTCACTGTTTCTACCTTTCAAATGCTGGAATTGGCAAAATTTCAGAAAAGTGGAGCTTCCTACCTTTCCAAGCATTGTTAAATATTAACTGTACTGGTTAAGAGAATATCTCAGCCATTCCTTTAAACTGTTGCATTTAAATTGCCTGAACCTTTTGTTTTGACAATGCTTATTATTATACATTCTGTACCTTGTTGCAGAAGTTAAACTGTCTTTTCCATCTGCTGCATCATATGGGATATATATATATATATATTTATATCTTCATTTCAAATGAAGAAAGGAAATGTCTGTTGAACATGACTGCCTTTCCCACATCTCTATTTATGAATTTACTGTTTTCTTTTCTTGATATTTGATATGACCTTTAGATATCCATAGTTCAGTAATAACTGTTTCTATTAACTTCTCTTAACTTTCCTTCCTTTCCTTCTTTTTTTGTGTTCATTTCCAAACATTTGTATCGCTCTGTTCTTCTGACCAAGGAGTGCTTTATGAAATGCTTCTTTACAGTCCAAAGACACACGTCGCTGGTTAGTGCTGCTCCCTGTTTGCTCAAAGGAAATGTGATCAGATTGTGATGCAGGTACCAAGGCAACCATTAGCTCGCAGTCAGTGATTAACTCTCCTTTGACCATGGGAATGGTGTCCAATGCTGAATTCCAACCTGTGCAGCACAGGCCTTGCTGCATTAAAAATTACCCTTAGTATGTTTTTTTCTGAAACTGTGAGAAAAAGACCTTCTTTTTAGCCTATGATACATCCAGCAAATAGCTGGATAAGGTGCTTTTGGAGGTTTCTGTTCCCAGGTATGCAGCCAGATTTTTGAGAAGCAGCAGCTCCAATCTCTCAATTCAGTTCAGACTTGACATTTTGTAGTCACCTCCCCATGAGAACCTCAATTTAGGTCCCTACTTGGAACTTAAATTCCCATGTGTTGGATGCCTTGTGATTTCAAATCACCAAAGAGACTGTGCAGCACAATACTGCCTTTGAATGTAGTTTTCTCTTTTTCCTGCTTCACCTAGGAACCATTTCCAAATGATTCAGACTGTCCAACCTCATCTGATTAGAATCTTTTGATTAACCTATCCATAATAAATTCCTGTTTGTAAAATGCTATATTTTCGTTGTTTTGCAGATCTTTGCATTTTTAGCACTCATGTGTCTTATCCTAGCCATTGGCAATGGCATCTGGGAACATGATAAGGGCTACTACTTCCAAGTCTATCTGCCCTGGGCAGAAGGTGTCACTTCTGCCCCCTACTCTGCCTTCCTCATGTTCTGGTCGTACGTGATCATTCTAAACACGGTGGTGCCAATTTCGCTCTATGTCAGGTACGTGTCTGAACCTCATTTCATGTTTAATCTTAGGGGAGTTTTGGCTTTTATCTTAATCAGGAGCAACCCTTTTCCTGATATGTGAATGAATTACCTTGTGGGTATGACACCCAGCCAAGGCCGGCTCTGGGAGCCACTATCACCAAATGAGGACCCCTGAGAGTCACTACTTTCTTTGTGGGTCTTGACTAGTCAGAATAAATCCCATGTGGTTTTAAAGAACAAGGGGTTAACCTTTTTTTCTTTTCCTTAATTCCCGCATTTATTTGTGTAGGATCTAAAATCACCTCATTGGTAATTCCACACCAATGATGTTTGTTCTTTTTGCTGCCTTGGGAGGACACTGGGGTGTAGACTGAATTGACGTGGGTAGCTTTTTGTTTGATTCCAGCTCTTCAGGGAGCATTGCAGCTGACTGCAGGCTGCATCTTCGGCCTCTAATTTGTACTGATTTGTGTAGTTTGTGTCGTCAGGCTGCAAAGGACAGCTCTCGGCTGCTGGTGATGCCCTATTGAATAAGCTGCTGAGAGGGGTGAAGAGTTGTGCTCAGGGTTACGAGTTTGGAAGTCACATTCTGAGATTCTCTTTCATGTTAGGATACATGAAGAATTTATTCTGTTACTGTCTTGTGTTTCACACCTCCAACAAAATGGAAATTCATTTTGTCTGTGCGCTGATAAAGCTTCACGATTATATTAAATTACGCAGTGACTCACTTGTTATGAAAGTCTGGGCTGTTCCAGCCATGGCTGCACTCGAACTCCGGCATCACAGCTCAGCCCAGCCAAGCCCAGAGTCCTCTCAAGTGTCTTTGGTTTAAACTACGAAAGGGAGCTGAAGTGCACTGAGAGAAACACTGCTGCTGCTGTCTTGGTATTTGGTCTGAAGACACGACCTATGCACAACCTATTTGGTGTGCAGTGCTGCAGCTCACTCACCGTGGCATTAATGAAGGTTTTGCGGGGGAGTCTTGATAAGGGACTGCTTGTTATGTTTTTAATGCAGTGTCCAGACTAAGGCTTTTTTTTTAACAGAGGCATGGCTTTGGCAAAAACAAATACAAGCTGAAAGAAAGCATCAGTTGTTTCAAGTCTCTTGTGTACATCTGAAACTTTTCCAATATAAGTTATTTTATAAATAATTTGCCACAAACCTAACTGTTTATTTCAACCGGACTTACTTTAGCAGGGCTTAATATAGACTCTTGAAGAGGCTCCTGTCTTTCAGCCACCTGAAGAGTACTCCCTGCCATCAGTTTCAAAGTTGTCTTCTAAATGCAGTTACTAGTGGTAGTGCTTAAGGTAAAGATTTTGTCTCTTAAACTAATGAATATTTCATCATCTTCTTTTCCTCTTTCACCAGTGTAGAGATTATACGCTTGGGCAACAGCTTCTACATTGACTGGGATCGAAAAATGTATTACCCAGTGAACGACACCCCAGCCCAGGCCCGTACCACCACTCTCAATGAAGAGCTGGGGCAAATCAAGTATATCTTCTCAGACAAAACAGGAACTCTCACGCAGAATATCATGTGTTTCAACAAGTGCTCCATCAATGGCAAATCCTATGGTATGGTATCTGTTGTATTCCCTGGGTTGTATTCCATCATATGTCTCAGTCCCCAGAGACTAAAATGATATCTAGAAGAGACAGTCTTGTAAGAAGCGAAACAAACTTAAATTTTATGATGAGACAATTGCTACTCTGAAGTCATGTATGCAGTCAGGCCTGGAACAGAGCTGATATGCTGATGCCAGGATGTTTGGTCTGTCTGTCTGTCTGTCTGAGTGTTCCCCTCTGCCAGGGAAAGTAGCTGGTACGTTCAGTTCTGCTGACCACAGAAGTTTGACTTGAATGTTTTGGTCAGAAGAACAGGTTTGATTTATTGTCCTACTCCAGCTGCAGTGATCAAGTGCAAGGCTCCCTGGTGGTTATTCTTGGACAGTGCTGATCATTTGCATAAATTAACATCATTTTCCTGAACATTGATTTTCCTTTTTAGCCCCGCCTCATACCTCACTTTCTCCGTCCTAATATCCTCCTAAATAAAGTATCTGCCCCTAGTTACATTTTCCCGCTGGTCCCAATTTTACTACATAGGTTATATATGCTGCCTAGGTGATTTTAAACTTATATGGTATTATTGATATTATTAACTAGGTATTAACCTTGTAAAACTACCCCCAAAAGGTCTCCAGTCTTTCCAACTATCTGTGATATTCAGCTGATATTCACCATCCGTCGCAGCTCTATAACTTGTGTCAGATTCTCACACAGTTATCTTTTGCATTTGCCTTTTTTTCATGTCACGGGCAGTGTATTTTCACAGAGTGTTTAAGTAACTTAACCTTAGGACCAGGCCTACTCAGTGGCTTAGTTATTTGTTTGCAGCTGTAACTACTGCTTCACCTGCTACAAGAGTGAAAAGGTTGACAAGAGTTTGGAAAAATGTGAAACAAATGTTGCTAGCTCTTTGATCCTAAAGATCATTGGCTTGGCAAGCTCAAGCATAGTGTGGTCCAGAACAGTTTTCTCTGTACTCCTCAGGAAGTGCTAATTGATTAATATAATCCCAATCCCCCCACACACCCTGAGAAATTAGTCAGAGTTTATTTGTTGCACCTGTGTCGGACCTACTGACTAGTGTGGCGGAAAAACTTGTCTTTTTTTTCTCAGTGCTATTAGTTATTCCAACAAAAGAAGACGTTTCCTCCTGTAAATCTTGCTTCACTTGTATCTGTAGACCATTGATTTTACAACAGGACTACTATACCAGCCAGCATTAGTAGTGGTAACCAGAGTTTAAGAAATATTCAATCTATTTATGCATGTCTTGTAATTAGCTTTTCCAAAGTGGACGTCACCACAGAGCATAGACATAGAATGTGTGTTCAAGAAATGAATGGGAAATGGGCAGAAATAAATCAGATTGTCGATTCTTTATGGTCTTCTAAAGGCTTTCCACTTTTTGTGGAATATACTAGTTTGGAGTGCCTGCTCAGGTGCATTCGGGAAGGTCATAGCAGAAAGGACAAATTGGTACTGCTGCTTGGGAAGGTATTCTGGAGGCGTAGATTTTCCTTTGAGAAGGAGGCATCTAAAGATCTCTTGGCTACAGTTCCCAGGGGCTAAATTCATGGGCAATTGAGACAAGATTCTGAAATTTGTCATAGACTAACAGAAGGACAGACTGATAAGAATCATCAGTCCTCAGTCTTCATGTCAAAAAAAACATGATTATTGAAACTTTTAAATATGGCTTTAGCTTTAAAACTTTAACTAGTTCCTGTGATAGAGGAGGCTCAGAGACTGCGCTTAGCTGGAGTTTGTGACTATAAAGCCATTCTCTTTTGCTTTCAGGTGATGTCTATGACCTGGCTGGTCAAAGGATAGAAATAAATGAGGTAAGTGCTCAAATACTAACTGGACAGGCTCAGTGCTTTCTGCCCAGGTGCCAGTGGGTGTATTGGTGTATTCCACCCAGGCACAGTTCATGCTCTTGGTCTTCTTGATCCTGATAACTGAACAGGGAGGTCTCTTCTGGTGGGTCTCAGAGGATTGTCAGTGTTGCATTCCTTCCCCTTAAGCAGGCCTGGTTTAAACCTGCAGGGAGGGCATCCTGAGTGCCTGCTATTCCCTCAGCTACCGCCTGTCCAGCTCCTCTCAACACCGGGCTGTTTACCTTTGTTGGAAACCTGGACATTGGTGAATGTTGTTAGCCTTGGCGGTGAATTAAAGTGTGGGAATTCTTCTTGGGGAATCAATGTGTTCAGCTTGTATCTGTAAGAAGGTTGCTGTGAAATTCTCCTAATGCCTGGATATTGGAAAGTGAGAAAATGAATGGTCTTCCCATTTCCTTCTAGCCTCTGCTTGCTGTCACAAATTTGCCTGTCAGGGATTTCACTGCCTAAAATGTTTGAAACTGTTTGCAGTGATCCAAGTAACAAGGGCCAAGATGATGACAAAAATCCCACTCCTCATTCCAGTGATTCATTTCCAAGCCCTTTAAAACTTAAATTACCCATTCAAATTGGCTATTTGTATGGAGTGCTGTGCCTGCAGATGCCCCTTGCTCAGACAACAGTGTGAAGGGCTCCTTTGCTGACTTGCTGCCAGCCAGATGCCTGGCAGCTCCTCCTGCCCCTGCTACCTACAAAGCAGGATCCTGCAGGCCAAGGGCTGCTTCCTAGACATCCCTGGTGTAGCTTATTGTGCTGGCTAGTGGGGGAGCAGAGGGGCTGTGATCTTTGCTAAATACTGAATGTCAGCTTGCACAGCTCAAAAGCATGACTCCCATCCTGGAAACTCTGAACTCTCCAGGGATGGGGTGGGAGGCTGAACTGTCCTGGGCAGGCTCAGTCTAGTGCATTCCTGCATGACACATCATGCTTTGAACTTCTGCCTCTTTCTTCTGCGTTGCAGTCTGATTGGGACTCCTTGTTTGAGGCAAAAAGGGCAGCGCCTGTGGAGCTGAACCTTTACATCATTTGTCTGCCATCCTTTTCCATATCTTTTTTTTTTTCCCTTGCTGTGAGGATAGGGTGGAGAACACTGCCTTTTGAATTGTTTTAAATTGGGCCTCTGCATTCCCCTATTACTGCCTTCATTGAAATCAGGAGCAAAACGGCTCCAAACAAGCATGTGTTGTGAAGAGAGGCATTTCTGCACTACAGAAATCCTTTAGTGGGCATCCCCTGGGAACATTTGCTTAGGAAGTATAGGAAGCATCTATAGCTAATCAGGTTACCAGTCAGAGTGCTGCTTTGAAAGGCACCTCAAGTGCTTGTCCTGTTCTGTGGTACTGTACCTTATATGGCCTCCCATTTATTTAGATTCATCATTCTCAGTTGTGAACAGAGATGTGAGACTTTACAGATAATGCTGAACAATATTTTTTGCAGAAAACAGAGAAGGTTGATTTCTCGTACAACCAGTTAGCCGACCCAAAGTTTGTCTTCTATGACCACAGCCTGGTTGAAGCAGTGAAGCTCAATGATGCCCCTACACATATGTTCTTCCGACTGCTCTCACTTTGCCATACAGTGATGCCAGAAGAGAAGGAGGAAGGTGAGGACTGTTGAAGGCACCCGACTAAGTGGCTAATGTCCACCCTGCATCACAGTATGTCTTTTCTCCACAGAAGCTGTTACTGGTCCTTTTGCCTCCCTGGTGATTTTCTGCAGTGTATGGCTACATGCAAATCTGTGTCTTGGGAGGTGCCACATGGGAAGACCAGGGAGCCCACTCCCCATGTGTTCCTGTGGTGGAATGACACTAATGCAACCGCCCCTCACCACAGCTTCCCCAGGAAGATGGTAGATGCTTTTCCTCACTCTGCCTTTATTCTGCACCACTAGGTATAAAGAATAAAGCATATGGCATGTATCCACTGGAAACTCATTACCTCTTCTTATCCAGTGTTCCTGCAAGTAATGAGTCTGTTAGGATGAAGTCCCATCTTTCCTGGTGCTTTAAAGGCTAGAGCCATTAATACATGTAAGTTTAAAATCCTGATGAGAAAAACAAATGCGGATTTAACTGGAAGTTGTTAAACCCAAGGAACTTATCATCCATTGAGCTCTCTTGGACTCCAAAGAGAGTGATAAAGGCTCCAGAAGGAAACTAGGGTCTCTTTTCCACTACCCTGCAGAATACGGTGTGTGGAACTATATGGAGAGTTGTGATCACAAGGGTGCTTTTTAGTGCTACAACTTTGCATAGACAGGAGAGCAGATGGCTAACTGCTATGGAAATTCTTGTATCTTGTATTTGCTTAGCCTCAGGAGCAATGCAGAAATGATAATAAAACTTTTTTTTGGGTTTTTTTTTTTTTTGCATTCCAGGTAACTTGGTGTATCAAGCCCAGTCTCCCGACGAGGGAGCCCTTGTGACTGCTGCCAGAAACTTTGGGTTTGTTTTTCGGGCTCGTACACCAGAGACCATCACTGTTGTGGAAATGGGAGAAACAAAAATCTACAAGCTGCTGGCTATTCTTGATTTCAACAATGTGCGCAAGCGAATGTCTGTTATTGGTATGTCCCCCTCACTCCCTTCTTTCCTTCCTGGCTTTTTATGCTCTTAAGTTTTGCCCTTATTCTACTTTGATGCCTTTCTCAAGGACAACCCCTTTGCATCACTTTCCGATTGACATTTACTTCTGAATGTTTGAGATGGGCATCCCCAACTGTTCAGTGACACAGCAGCAGTGATAGATGACCTGAGTAGGTGCAAGGACATCTTCACAACTGCTCCACAGTGATGGAGCAGCTTCCTGAAGACACTAGGCTTTCTACACATCTTATTTATAACAAAGCAAGAACCTGCTTCCTTCCAGTCAGCTTCAAAATAATCAGCAAAAGCTGAGGAAATGGGAATTGAGACAGCAAAGCCAAGCAGAGATATCCAGTTCCACCCAAGGGAGATGGAGTAACAATTCAAGGAACCTATTGTAGTCCTTATTCATCTTGAAATGTCCTCAGATTCTTTAGGAACTGGGATGGCATAACTTAAGGGAGAGTGGCAGTGTCTTTACTGGCAGCGTGACTGCTTCTCTGAAAACAGACTGTTTTTATCTTTTGAACATACATGTCCTTCTTGAGGTGCTGTTTGTAAGAACCATGTAGAGCATCTGCTCAGACCAGAGTACAGTCTGGAAACTGTTGTCTACCCCTAACATTGAGGGTAGTTACATTGGCTTTTGTTCTAAGCAATGTTCATCTTGATTTGTGACAATTTGCTCTCACGCATTCAGAGTAAGGATGTCTCTAAAACCTTTCTTTGATTACATGCAAGTGCTATGAGTGCTCATTGTCTTAGTCTGGTGTTTATAGAATTTTTATTTCTGTTCCTTTTAGTGCAGAGTCCAGAAGGTGACTTGACTTTGTACTGCAAGGGAGCTGACACCATTCTTTATGAATTACTTCATTCATCCTGTGATGCTCTCAAAGAGGAGACAACAGAACACCTGAATGTAAGTACTTCCTTCTGCACAGCCTCGACAACTCTGTGTTTGATGGTTCCCTTTTGTGCATTATGTTCAAACCTCTATTATGCCTTCCTCTGTCCTGGAAATGCAGTTTGCTTTGAGATGAAAAGCAGAACTCAGAAGCAGTACCCAAGTTTGGGTTATTATTTTTCACAGGGAACAAACTTTACATTGTTGGTGGTGCACAGTGTGAGGTAGTTACACAAGTGGGTGCTCTTTACTCCCTTCCGATAGCAGATTCTGTTGGTACAAAGCACAATGTAATGGAGGGCCTGGATAGAGAGGTTGTAATGGCACAAACATCTCTGCCCTTTGGCCTTGAGTGAGCCAGGAAACTTGAGGATGGAGGAAGGAGCTGAGCACTGGGAGATGGGCTGTCCATGTGGCTGCTTTCTTATGCAACTCTGCTTCAAGGCTATTCATTCAGAGACCACAGGGAGAGAGAGATTTTACATCCTGTTATGGGGAGGAGGGAATGAGAGTTCTGTTACCCACCAGGCACTGAGATTCATATCTCCAGTTAAGTATATTCAGAAAGGGCACTTACAAGGACTTGCTGTCATGACTCATGGTGCTCACACTAAACAAGCACTTGGACTAGCATTTGCACCCATAAAAATGTTGAGCATTGCTTAATTGCAATCTGAGGCTGCACTCAGTGTGTTTTATTCTCATTTTTTTTCTGAATCTAATGCTGAGAAATATCTACAAGTGAAAAGAGTTGCTTTGTTAATGTAAAGCTTTAGAGTGAAAACATAGGAAATCCCTTTTGAATTTGGTCTCTGTAAGAACAGTGACTAGAAATTATAAAGTGATGTGGAACTAGTTATTAAAAAATACCCCTAAGTTTGTGGTGTCATTTTTCACCTTTCCTGCATAGACTTTAGGTAAGAAGGTTGAAGGAAAATAGGCATTTGTAAAGAGAGTTTTTTATAACCCTGAGTGAGGAGGCTGTTCTTCTTTGACCTCTTTTGCCTCACAACTGTCTCACAGGAGTTTGCTGGTGAAGGTTTGAGGACACTTGTTGTGGCCTATAAAAACTTGGACGAAAAATATTTTGAGAACTGGATCAGGCGTCACCATGCAGCAAGCACTGCCTTGGAAGGAAGGGAAGATAAATTGTCGGAGCTGTATGAAGAGATTGAGAAAGATTTAATGGTTGGTATTTCGTGGAATCTGGGCCAAGCTCTGGGGGAGGTGGCAAGGATAGCGGTTCATCAATAAACAGCTCAGTATGACTTCAGTAAACATTTGCCTGCAAACAGCCTAGTAGATTATGTGCCTGGAGTGCTTTGGAACAAGGCAGTCCTGAGTTTTCACTGGCACCTCCGTGAGGAGCCTGTGACTGGGGTGTCAGACATCAGTACATGGGAACAGTTTTATTTCAACTCACAAGGGTGTCAGAGCAGCTTTCTGTGATGAAGCAGCATACCAGAGCTTAAGGGAAATGACAGAGACACAAATATTTCATAGCTACCCTTTGTACATGCAAATGGCTGATGTATTTATTCTTCTATCTTTGAAATGGCAGGCAGTGAATAATCCCCAGGTCCTCCTCCATTGCAAAGAGTGTCGCCTTTGTTCCTGCAGCCCTAGGCAAAATGGGGGATGATGTCCATGAAGTTTTTTGTGTCAATTTGAAATAGGACTAAGCTGTAATCTTCCAAGTCATTCTTTTCTCCATGAGTATTACTACAGCTTTTTGAATGCCACAGGGTTTCCCTGTGTTTCGGAATCATGAATAATGAATGAAAAGGACAAGATGCTTGGGATTTGAGAGGAAGCAATTCGGCTTTTGCACACACAGCAGTGCTCTCCTGAAATCTTGGAAACCCTTGAGCTATACTGTGGCTTCTTCCATTAGCTGTATGTTCAGGGCCTGTGAGTAAGTATGAGCCAGTAGTGGCCAACCTTTGGAGACAGGTGAGACTTGCATAGTACATGGGACAGAGCCTGCTGCCCTCCTAGGTCTCAGTACAGCGATGGAAAGTGCTAGTTGTCCAGTTCAGAGAATACCTTATGGGTTATGTTCAAAGCATGAAAGGCATGGAGATTTAGGAGGTTAAGGAAACACCTACTTTGCAAGAAAGGACTCATGGTTTGAGTACAGAAGAGGTTGTGGGCTTGCAGTGTGGTTCAGGAGAATGCTTGTTTGCACTAGACCGTCTCTGTACCCTGTACAAGAATGGCTTTGCTTTCAGAAGGGGCTGCAGGAACGGACAGAGAGTGGGCGTAGGAAAGCCTAACTTGTAACAGAATGGGTTTAAAGAACAGTGTCAGGAAGAAAGTTGCAGGGTTTGATGTATGTGTAGGGAACTGCCAAGTATCACCGTCTAGTTGACAGCAAGAATAGGAGTCCCTGAGTTTAATCCTAGGGATCTTTAGAAGAAGTCAAGAGATAAAGGCAGTGTGATGGAACAGAGATGAAATGATTATGTTATGAGCCTTGAATAACACAAAAATAGAATTTAACATTGACTCTTAACAAATAAGGAAGAGCCACAGTATGGAAGGCAGCGTGCTTGTTTCTCCAACTGTTCTTATACCAAGCCATTCACAGACAGGCAAAGGCCTGGCATAACTCGTAGCATCCCTGTCCCTGTTCTCAGTGCCCACCCACAGATACAACAGTGCTATTTTCTGCAGCTCCAGAAAGACAATGTGTGTGGGGAGCACAAACCCTTATTCTGCATTCCTGGGCCTGTTTGACATGTGTCCATCTTTGGGCTTCTAACCCAGATTCAAAGGGCTGCCAGGGATGAGCAGGTGCTCCCAGGAGGTGGTTTGTGTGCTACAAGCATTTAAGGTTTTGGTAGCTGGCCCATGGACCACGAATGTAAAAAGCGGATTATGAAACTTGGAGATCCCTATGGAGAAGTTTCCTCAGAGTTGTTGTGTACATTAATAACACTTTTAATCAGATGAATTATGAACATTCCAGGAAGCCAAAAACGGACCTCAGGATGAAAGCCAAATGCTGAATTTAGTCCCCCCAACAGCAGGAGGTAGGTGGTGGCAGATGCTGTCTAAACCTGAGTTCACAGCCAAAGCTTCATGTCCTTTTCAGAATAAGTTAAAGCCGGCAAATGTCTCCAAATGCAGAAAAAGCAGTAACTGTATCTTAATGAAAGTTTATATCTTGCTTGAGTAATTGCTTGGAGGTCTGGTGTTCCTCTTTTGTTAGTGATGTGAAGACTTACAGGTTCCCTATTTCCTGCTAAGCTTCTAGGTGCCACAGCGATTGAGGACAAGTTACAAGACGGAGTCCCACAGACGATTGAGACTCTTGCCAAAGCCAGCATTAAGATATGGGTTCTCACTGGAGACAAACAAGGTAATAAAGAGTATACAATTTTGGATGTCTCTATTCTCCCCCATTGGTGGGATACTTCCGGTAAGACCCATGTTCTGATTTTTTCTCCTTTTAAAAATGGCACAGAGGCTAATCTTACAGCCTCATTGATTCCTAGGTAAAACTCCAGTTCATTGGAATTGGACCAAATAACTTTAGCTCGTAACTTTTCTTAATTCTTTTCCTAAGGCTGGAGATTGTATGAATATAGCATTCCTTGCCTTTGGAGAGGTAACAGAGAGGATCTCGTGGTCTCTGTCATACACCAAGGGGGAGAAAAAAAAACGAACAAACAACAAAAAAAAACAAGCAGGAAGCAATATTCCTCATATTCTTTTCCATTACAAGAAAGAAGAGGTATCACTTTAGTAGAGTAACCTGACCTGGTGAAAAAAGGCTAGTCTTGCTTCTGAGGAATGGAGATATGGGCTAATGCTGGTGTTGATGTTAGTTAATGCTAGGGCTAGTTTTATTGCTTTGGTAAAGTTCTTTTTCCTGTGGCCTCTCAAAGCCATTAGTGGAGATTGTTCATCAAGGTGACTCTCCTGGCTCACTTAATTGTTGGCCCTGAAAGGTTCAAGGCTGTCTTGGATGAGAAGTAGAGTTTTTCTCATGTGTCTAAAAAGGCCACAGAGATTGTGGAGTGAATTCAGGGCTGCTAAACCAGCTTATCTTCCTGATTTATCTTCCCCAGAAACTGCAGTGAATATTGGTTATTCCTGCAACTTGCTGAATGATGACATGGCAGATGTTTTCATTATTGAAGGCAGCACATCTGACGCTGTACTTAATGAACTCAGGTAAGTGCCTGAAATGTCCAGCTCTAGTACTGTGCCCTGACATTGAAATGAAGTGACTTTATAGTCCTGAATCTTTCCTGCGTGCTCTACCTGGTGCAGCTCATTGTGGGGACCTTGGCTAAGGGTTAGCTGACTGCCTGAATAACCCAGCAGCCAGCTGAACATGGTGGAGGAATCTCCTGTGAGGAGAAACTCTGAAAGTTCTTAATCCAAGAGGTTAATCTACATAGAGGAGTAAGGAAGGAGACTCAGATGCAATGACATGGAAGGTGATCTGGAACCACCAAGTCTTTGACTCTGTGCCTGAGATATGAAATTTCTCCACTGCTGTTGCAGTTCATCCATATTGTGGTTCTTTCCTTGACAAGTTCCTCTTCTAGCGTTATCTAGAAGCTTTCCTTGCTCCTGAGGTCTGCTCAGGAGACACCAGGCCTTAGATTCAGGGGATAATGGGGAAGTCAGGCTCTTTTCTTTTAAAGAAAGTAGTTGCCAGATAGCATGTATGGAAAGGTGGGATGGCTTTTGGGATAAAGTCTGTCGCTTTGGTGATTTTTTTAGACTTAAGTCCACACTTATTTGAGTTTCAGAAACATTTGGGTGAGTGGAACTGGATGAACTGGGTGAACAACAGCAGCTAATCCAGCATATCGAAGTGGTGATACGGGGAAGATTGTACAAAACCAACAAAAGGAAGCCTAACATTTTTATTTTTAAGGTTGATTTAATTTATATATGTGTGTGTGTATATATGTTTATATATACACACACACACACATATACATATGTACACACTTTTGTTTACAAACTATTAATTATTATTCTGCATGTTCTTTTTAAGGAATGCAAGGGAAAAGATGAAGCCAGAATCCTTTCTGGACACGGATGAAATTAACATTAAGTTTGAAAAATCTTCCAAGAAAGCAAAACTTCTCCCTGATGAACAAGCAAATGGGGTCTACGGTCTTGTTATCAATGGCCATAGCTTGGTAAGGAAGTCCTGCTAGGACTGAGTTCTCATAAGAATGTAATATAATAGGGACATACTGGAAATCTTAAAATACTTTAAAAAATTAACCTTAGGAGTTTAGATTTTTTTTTCCTAGCTGAAGGCTAGGTCTAGAGTTCCATAATTCCTGTGAAATTACTGGCACTCACAACTATTAGTGGTTATCAGAGAGCTGAGTAAGGTTTCGTAAGTCTGAAACAGGTCAAAAATGTCTATGGTGTTAAACAGGAGGCGGAGTAGGGTAGCTGGATTAATTTTGGTTACCAGACAATTACTAGAAAAATAATAATGCTTTTATGGATGCACCAGGCTGATAACATCAGACATTGTTATCAAGTGTATCGAGAACATACCCTCTTAAATATATCTATTTTCCACTTACAGATAGAATGGATATCATATAACTTGACTAATAAATCATTTGATGCTATCTTCCATAATGTTTTTCTAAGCAAACTGAAGTAATATGATCTAGATGAAGTTGCTGTTTGACAGATGCAGGAGACTCCTTGGAAATTATGGCTCTTAATGGCTCATTGTTGTTCTAAAAGTGTATAGTTAAGTGGTATCTGCAGGGGGCTATCCCATATTCATTCAGTATTGAGTGTTTTAATTAACTGCTTAAAAAGAGAGCAAGCTTCTTAAATGAGCAGATAACACCAGCCTGGGAGGAACTGCAGACTTGAGGGAGCTGAAGATTAGATTTGAAAATAATTTTGACAATGGAAGGATACTTGGAAAAACAGAGAATGCAGTTCAGTAAGAACAAATGCACAGCTCTCCACTTCCTTCTAATCAAGTGCAGACAGAAAGGATGACAGAGATGTGTGTATAAGAACATCACTGGTAAAGCTGTGGTGGCTGCTGATGGCAGCACTGGGATTCTGTACGCTTGTGGTCTTGCTCAGACAAAGCAAAAGAACAGAGGCACAGCAGTGTCTGTGGTGGCACCATGACACAATGTGATGGCATCATCACACAGCCTGCAGTGCCATTAACTATGTGTTAACATATGGTGACTATACGTCAGCATATGGCAACTATGTGTGAGCAGTGCTCTGTAGTCAGGATGCTGTGGGGAAAAATAAATATCTCTAGCTGCAGTGACTGGCCAGTGTGTTAAACCTAAATCAAGAAAAGGTCTCTCTGGGTGAGCAAGCCTGCCTCTCACTGATGACAGGGAAGTGGGGACTTTAGTGACTCACAGCTCTGTGTTTTAAGAAGAAAAAGGCATGTGGCCTTTGAATTGCTTGGGTCTCCTTGCAGAAAGGGCAGCTGTGCTGCTGTAATGGCTTAGGGGAGGAGAGAGTCAGTGGGTTCTTTCTATGAATATCTACTGAGGAGACACCAAAGCGCACACCCAAGAAGCACAGTCAGTAGGAAATAGGAAAAGCTAACGCTGCTCCCTCCTTCCTATGCAGAGCTGAGGGGGGAACCAGATGCCCAAATACCTGCACCCTTCCAGAACAGAAATAACAGGCCGACTGAGTGAAAAGGCCAGCACTCAGAACAGTCACGTTCTGTCTGGTTTCGTGTTTTGCTTTCTCATGCCTACCTGAGCAAAACTTTTTCCATTTTTTAAAATCAGTACTCCCAAGTTGAATTTTCTTCTATTTATAGCACAGATCTGTCAGAGCTTAAAAAATAAACCAGGAAGTATGAGCAGGAATTCACTTGCATGGAGATACGCAAGCTAGCTCCAGAGACAGCTGTGTTAATGCACCGGGCCTGTTGTTTGACAGTTGTGCTGCACTGTCAAGATACATTAGCCAGAGTAAGTGCCATGCTAATATGGCTTTGATGCTTCCAAGACCCAAACTGGTGTTTTCTGCTTGGCATTTTATTGTGTAGCATGGATATGCCCTTTGACCAGACAGCGAGATTCCATTGAGGTCACTTAGTGAAGAGAAGAAACAGTCATTTTTGGTGGGAGAAACACTTGTTGCAGCATTGAAGATAGCAGCTCAGCTCTGGCGACCTTCCAGGCATCCCATACCTTCTTTATGTTGAATAAAAGAACTGGTTTCGTTCTTCCCACTGTTTCTGCTTTGTAAGGCCGTGAGTTACTGATGGTCTGACCTGCTCTTGCCTTTCCTCCCCAGGCCTATGCACTGGAAGGGAATCTGGAGCTGGAGCTGGTGAGAACAGCCTGCATGTGCAAAGTGGTCATCTGCTGCCGGGTGACTCCGCTGCAGAAGGCCCAGGTGGTGGAGCTGGTGAAGAAGTACAAGAAGGCTGTGACCCTGGCTATCGGAGATGGAGCCAACGATGTCAGTATGATCAAAAGTGAGTACCAGCACTGTGTCCTGCCTGGGGGGCAGCATCCTCCAGCAAACGGATGGGCTGTTCTACTGCCGTTATCTGCAATGAGAAGTGGGTGGGAGCAGCACTTTGCTGCTCCTGCCTATAGAGTTTGGCAGCAGAAATGCTTGAGTGGCTTCTGTTTATTCCTCTTGGTGGAATCACGATGGCTGGGTCCAGATTTCTGGAGGTTTCTGCAGAGCAGTGTCACTTTGGACCACTCGTGTCTCCCATCAGGGGTACACAAGCCTTGTACCCCTGTACTCATAACCACTGGTGCTGTAGTGGCTCTGCTCCTGCCACCAGAGACTCAGGAAGCTGTGCCTGCATTTGCTATTTCTTCATTTCCATCCCCTGATCTTTCAAACGTGTTTTGCTTACAGCTTTGTTACTGGGAGATCATGCTAAAACCTGGCAATATTGTGCCAGCATGGGCACTTTACTAGACATAACAGAACAGGAAGCTAAACTGCTCCATCCCTGCCCACAGGGAACCTCCTCAGTCCTCTACCAGTACACAACAATCCAAATTTGTCAGCATCCAGGTGGTGTCAGGTTGTCCTTCCTCTTCTCGGGTTTATATCCAATTCTCTCACTCCACTGCTCCATGGGGTCAGGTGTCTCTCACTTCTTGCCTCCCATGTAGAAAAAAGCCTGTAGGAGCTGTGACGTGTCTATCTATATTTGTGTGACTACCATCACAGTGGAAATGCCAAGAATAAACACGTTTATTCCAGAGAGATGGCCTATCAGGAATGCAAAAGGAAAATCTTAATGCTTGTAAATATTCTGTATAATGTTACATGATTTTTTATGACCTTTTTTTTTAACATTTTCATGTGGCTTGGGGCTACTTTTCCTCCTTTGTATTATGGCAAACAGGCCTGTACCTGCTTTGTCCTTCATTATCATTTAATGCTACATAACCTCAAAGAACTTATGAAAAAAAATCCCTTAACTAGGTATAATTAAATTAAGATTATTCAGAAAGGCCTATTACTAATCTTCCTTGTGTTAATTTGTAAAAATTGATTAACTGGAGCCTTTTAATTAAGAAAGCAAAGGCTAAGTAGGAAGCTTCAAGGGAGATAAGTCAGGCAGCCAGTCAAGAAAGAATAAGAAAAGCAAGTTAAAATATACAAGATAATTAGAAATGAACCTCGCCACTACAAGAGGGCTGGGGCTTTGGGATTTTATCAGCTCACTGTTCCATGGAAACCTCTCAGTCTAAGCAACCTCCAGCCATCAAGATTGTTCTCATTAGTTAAAGCTATGTAATTAGCTGTCACATTAAACTTATGTCCATGTTTAATAAACCCAAGTTACTATTAAGAGAGAAGTGACTGTTCTGTTTAATTATTTGATTGAACTGATAAGACCCAGAAAATATAAAATGATTACAGATTAAGCTCTTAGAGATCTATAATGATTTTGTTGGTTTGGAGTGGTGTTTTAGGGCAGCTAAAAGAACATGCAGGCATATAACACAAGTCACACCTCAATAGACATTCAAGATATTTCTTCATACCAGCAGTGATGTTCTGTGCCATTGATAAACATTAAGAATGAAGATGTGTATTTCACTGAGGGTGTAATTCCTTCAAATAGTTTTAAAAAGTCCAGTTACTGTAAATATATCACCATAACAAAAAAAAAATCGTGTTAATGCTGATGAAAAAATAGTTTTTCCAATGTTTTTCATAAATAACTTTGATTTTTTTTTTTTTTTTTTTTTGTATTCAGGATAGGAGGGAATTAACACAGTGTCCCAGTGTGGAGGGCATTAAGAACAGGAGCTATCAAAGCTCTGAATGTAATGACATGGCCAATACTCTTCTTGTTGCAGCTGCCCACATTGGGGTTGGCATCAGTGGCCAGGAGGGGATGCAGGCGGTCTTGTCCAGTGACTTCTCCTTTGCCCAGTTCCGTTACCTCCAGCGCCTGCTCTTAGTCCACGGCCGGTGGTCCTACATCCGCATGTGCAAGTTCCTCAAATACTTCTTCTATAAGAATTTTGCCTTCACATTGGTGCATTTCTGGTATGGTTTCTTCTCTGGCTTCTCAGCACAGGTAAGTCAGCTTCTGCTGTCTCATGGTTGTGTTTAGTGTTTTCGAGAGAAGTATCTGGAAACATTTTAAAAGTGTAAATAAACCGTTCCCTGTGCCTCACTGTGAGATGCACACGCAGTAGTGGATGCTTAGAAAGCAGAACTAACCTAAAACGATCCTTCCCCTGCGTATTCCCTCAGCTCCTTGTAATGAACAGCTGTGGATGGTTGAGCTTGACATTATACATTTGGTCTCAGAACTGTTTTGAACATGTTCTAGCATTTTTGTATATGTTATGTGTATGTTTAGGAGAGATGGAAAAGGCAGCCTTTTGCTAACTCCATGCTCTGCTTTTCTCTTTAGACTGTATATGATGAGTGGTTCATTACGCTTTACAATTTGATATATACCTCCCTCCCAGTGCTGGGAATGAGCCTCTTTGATCAGGTATTGTTTCTGTCACTATTTGGATTTTTTTTATACGGGTGCTTTAAACTAGTTCCATGAAGCAAAAGCAGCTGACCCTTTGGTTAGCTATTATTGTGATCCTTAAAGTAATTCTTGCCAGTGACCACCAGGATCACAAGAAAAGGATGCATAGTTTAGTGTCTTGAACTGGACAGCAGGTCTCACTGTGTGGTGGGAATTTTGAGTTAGCCTCTTAACTACAGTAAAAGCTGCTATTGCAGCACTCTCCTGACATAGTCGTGCCCTAATAGCTCTGTTTGTTGAAGCCAGACTAGTACTTTTTATGGACCATACGTGTGAATGAACTAGACTTCTGAGGATCTCTTAAGCCAAGCTTTATTTGTTCAACCTTTTTTAATGGAGCCCTTCCTGCAGTAATTTCATATTTGCATTTTTACCTCAGCTGTTACTGTTGTTCAAAAATACATAGAAGCAATAAAACTGCTCCTGTGTGCCTTTTAGCAATGAGGAGACACTTGCCACTTAAACAGTGGTTCCCAGTGGTGTGAACCCAGTGGAGATGTTTCCTATCCATTAGCTTCTAGGAATGTTTCAGGAGAGCAGGACATGCAGCCTGCTTAAGAACAGATGCACCTTCCTTTTTTTTGCAACACTTGTCATTTTTTCTGAGCAGGAGAAAAGTGAAATTCAGTATGTAAAATATGCATGGGTGACCTTGGAATGTGGCGTGCTAGTCAACACAGACAAGTGAATTGTTTGCAAAGCCTTTTCTCGTGGAAATGCGCGTTCTCAGGGGGGTGACAACATTAAGTGGCCTTGGAGGTCTGTCGTGTAGTGCCAGCAAAAGACTCCAACCATTTCTCTGCTTTCAGGATGTAGATGATCGCTGGAGTATGTTATTTCCTCAGCTCTATGTGCCAGGACAGCAAAACCTCTACTTCAACAAAATAGTGTTTGTCAACTGCGTGTTGCATGGGATCTACAGTTCCCTCATCCTCTTCTTCATCCCATATGGGGCAATGTACAACTCAATGAGAAGCGACGGGAAAGCTATTGCTGACTATCAGTCCTTTGCGCTAGTGGCCCAGACCTGCCTGCTGATTGTGGTGTCTGCACAGGTAAAGTATCCCTGGAAATGCTTGTAGGAATTAGTTGTTGTTTTATGAAGGCAGCTCTTGGAGGAGCCACTTGAGATCCTGATAGCGTTTTGCTTCCTGCTGCCTCTTGCTGTCTTTCTAAGAATGTCTCTTGATACCAGATTATTCTCCTCAGTTCAACAGAACAACAAATTTGAGTATCATGAAGGATCAGGGCCACAGGAAGACAGAACCTCTGCTTTGTGTAGTTCACAGTCATAGTAAAGAGAACAGTTACATCTGAGAGAAGAGAAGGACTCTCAGGATTGTCTGTCTGCTGTCAGGAGTCATTTATAAGGTCTCTATTGTGGTGCTGCCTATTTGGCCTGGTTCAGTGTATGCTGCTACAGCTGCACTTGCTAGAAATGGCTGAGATTAAGATAGTGAAAAACTCTGCTGATATTGGCAGGTTGAGAGAAACTTCTCAAAAGAAAAGCTATCATGTCACCTCTCTAGAAAATGGCTTTTGCTGGCTGAGGTGTTGTAGGCTCCGTCTGTTTTTCAGTAACTAGATTGGAGCATGAGCTAAGGATGTAAGCGATGGCAAAATGCAGTAATGCTTGGCTTCAGTGTTCTACTAGTATCATATGATCTGTGGCTTGGGTATTTCTTGAGCCTTGAATTGTGTCTGTGTTTCTTACAGTACGTGCTTCTTGTAATATGGGTTCATGGGAGAGGCCAAGAGCTTCTCTCCTGGTTATTACAGAGAGAATATATATAAAGTTTGGAATAAGGAAGTACAGATTGCGTAACAATTACCCATCTCAAGGGGTGAGGTGGGTCACAGAGTGGTGTACAAGATCTCTAGCTGCATTCAGCATAGATAAACTAAATAATTGAGGCCCTGATTGCAGCTGTGTTGCTCCCTTCTTTTAGATTGGCTTGGACACCGCGTACTGGACAGTTGTGAACCAGTTCTTCATCTGGGGCAGCCTTTCTGTTTACTTTGCCATCACCTTCACCATGTACAGCGACGGCATGTACCTGATGCTCACCCCCTCATTCCCCTTTGTTGGTAAGCCCTGGGACAAATCTCAGTTGCATTCAAAATGAGCAAACTGCTTGGATTAGCTCTGTCAAATGTTTCTAGTATGTTCATAGGAAGAGCTCCCAAAAAAGGCAATAACTGCCATTTGTGCAAGAAATGCCACGATATTTCTGCAGGTTGCTGGAAGTGCTTATTTTGAATCCCGTCCATGTGGACGTGTCCAGTGTTCAGTTCCTTGGAAAAGCTTGCACATTCAAACAGCCACAGGAACGAGCCTTTAAATAAGTCTGCAGAAGAAGTAGATTGAAAACTTTCTGGTAGCTCTTTGCTATTCTATTTCCAGATGTGTAATCCCTACAAATATTTAGCAGCATTTTGTTTGCAGAAGTATGTGTGTTCTCTTCTAAATAAATTCATGTGTTGGTGTGGGAAGGCATAGGAATCCAGCAACCTTACTGTACATAAAATCTTTCTGAAAACATGCAAAAAGTGAATAATAATAATAATAAGGAGAAGAATCTTTCTCCTGAGACTCCTGAGATTGTGCACAGGAGGAAGACGGAAAGTTTAATGAAGTAATTTAAACATTTTAAGTAGCTGTCTATATCTGGTACCGATAAGGTTCTGTTTTGAAGCACCACCTCCAACGTCCCAGTGTTTATTGTTTCAAATATCAAGTTGATGAGTAATCAATGCTTTTCTTTTTGGATTTATTAAGCCATTTGTTCTGTTCACCTGCACTATCAAGGTGCTTGGCCATTTTAGAAATACCTGAGATTCAGGTCAGTTGCAAGATACTTCCCATGTAGATGGCCACTGTAGAGAGGGCTTTTAGTATAAAAAATCCTGAGTGAGAGAAGGCAGAGGGTCTATTCAGTTTTCAAGGACAGTTCATAAGCCACTTATCATCAGGGACATCTATATGTGTTGCTCTGTTGATACTGCCTAGGCCAAAGCACCCATAATGTTGAGTATGACTTAGTAAGGTCTCACTGTGAGACCATTTCTAATGAAATTTCTTCAAGGTTGGCCTCAGTTAACCTGGTTGCTTTAATTTCAGCGGAGTTGTAATAGAGCGGAATTTGGCTTACTGAAAAGAAGACATTCAGCAACTTTACTGCCAACAACAGCATGATTAAATGCTGTACTGAGTCTTTTGCAGGCAGTTTGTTCTACCCTGCATTCCTTCAGTTTTTGGAGGAGCCAAAAGTTAAAACTTTCCTTTCAGAGGATGTGTCAGTGTCATGTTACCACATGGCAGCTGCTTTGCCAACAAACCCTTTAGGCTACTCTGTGTATTTTGCTTTCATTAAGGACTGGGATCGTACCACCTATTGGACAGTACTTCATATGCATCAGGAAATAGTCCTGGCAAATAAGGAAGGAATATTCTTTCTTTTTAATGGAAGTCCTGGCTAAAGGTTAGCAGACTTGATTGTGGCTGAAGTAGGTCTCTCAAATATTTATCTATCAACTTATTGCAGTGCAGTGATATGACTCTTTGTAATGGGATAAAGTATTCACTCTGCCATCTGTATCTCCCTGAGTAGTGCAGTTTAGCCTGAGTGTTGTTTTCTTCTTTGCCTATCTATGATGGTGTTACTGCCCTCTCTGTAGCAAGCTGATTTCACTGTTGGATAAAAGGATTTACTTTATATTTTGATGTGTTTGCCAAGTGCTTTAGGAGCTCAGGGAATGGAAGATTCAAGGTGAATAAGGGTGAGAGGTTTTAACAATACTCTTATTTTTCAGGTACGGCTCGAAACACCCTCAGCCAACCAAATGTGTGGCTAGCAATCTTCCTCAGCATCATCCTCTGTGTGCTGCCTGTAGTTGGCTATCGTTTCCTGAAGACTCAGTTAAAGCCCACTCCCAGCGATAAAGTAAGGCGATAAGCTCATAAACCAGAAATCCCTCTTGCTGCCACCTAAAGCTTCTGCAAGGCCTTACGGCAGGGGCCTGGCATTCCTTGGTTTACATCCCTAGAGGTGCAAGCACTGCCATCCTTCTGTCTCCTAGTCCCTTCAATGGAGGATTGAGGATGTGTTTTGGCACAGTTCAAACCATCTGCGGCTGGGAGCAATGCTGAGGTGATTCAGAGATGGTTTGCATTGCACTGGAGTGAGGAGGCTTCGGCATTTTTAGGTCCAGGGTGTTTCAGGGTGTGGCTCAGTGGCAAAGTAGGGGCATATTTCACATCCAGCAGTGACATCTTGCTGCCGTATGGTTTTTACCTTGGCAGACTGCACTTCTGCATCCCCTAGACATGCATACATGTTTGCTAAGGACTTTGGGGGCTGGAGAATTTGCTTTTTTGATAGCTGATATTCCTTCACTGAAACCAGCTGCCCTCCCATGCCCCAAAATAGGAAGATGAGGCCATTAGGGCACGGAGAGGCGGAGAGAGATGGCAGGGGCAGAAGTGCCCAGCTCACTACAGCCAAGCACCTCCTGAGCAAGATCAGTGTAAATAGAGCTCCCCGGGCTGCCTTTCAAACAGGCGTATCTGCTAAATGTTGCTGCCACCTGGTGCTTCCTTCCCCGTCCTACACCAAGCTGTGAGACAAGTGTCTCTGAGCAAAGGCTCAAGGGATGGCGCTTGGTCCTCAGCGGCTGCCTTGATCGTCCTCGGGATGTCTGTAGAGGTCCTCAGATGCTCCAGGCTCATATTGGCGATTCTAGTAGCCTGTTTTCTAAATTAAGCCAATTTGTCAATCTTTATTTATAGATCAGGCTTTCTGGACTTCTATGAATTTCCTAAGTTATTTATTTATTTATTTATTTATTTATTTGACTGAAAAGCCTGGAAAGAGCTGGAAAAGCCTGGAAAAACCTGAGGCCTCACAGTGTCATGAGGAATAACGAATGGATATCACTATCCACCCATCTCTTACTCATAACGTTCCCAATAATGCCTTTTGGGGTCATGTTTGCTTTTCCATTTTCTGAAGTGCTACCCTGGTGCTGCAAGTTCAGTTCCTGCTCTTTGGCTCTTGCTGCCATCCTCCTAATTTGTCAACCATTTCCTGCTTCAGATCCATGCTTTTGTCTCCCCTTCTGAATTCCTCTTTTGCCGTGCTCCTGAATAATGATGCATTTCCCACTTGCTCAGTCTGATTTTCTGATTTCAGGTCCTACTCAAGATCAAAGAAGCCAAGAAGAGGCCACCTCCCCCATCGCCCAAGAGGCGCCTGCGTCGGACCAGCACCCGCCGCTCTGGCTACGCCTTCTCCCACCAGCATGGTTTCGGAGCGCTCATTATGTCTGGAAGGAACATGCGGCCAAAATCACCTTTTGCTACAACGGGAACATTCTCACCTAATAGTGACAAACACAAGCACAAGGGACTGTAAAAACCAAGCAAACAAAAAAACCTACAAGCCTAAAGGGCTGTCAGGAAAGGAGAGTGTGCTTCCTGCAAAGCACCGAGCCAGTGGCTCCTCAGAGCTCTGCCCTGTGGGCTACCAAAGCAAGGACTTGGACCTTTCCTTTTACCCACTTGCAGTTTCCAACTGCAGCTTCTGTTCCAAAGATATATGCTGCTCCTAAGGAAGTAAGGGAGGAGTGGGGAGGGCAGGCTGAATTAAAGCTGTTTTGTATTCCAGAAGGCCTCCCTGGAACAAGGGAGAGAACATGCTGTGGGAGGCTCCTTCACTCACCAAGATTGTTTATGATGCCATTTTCTTTCCCCCTTTAACTAAATACCTCAGAACAAAGTGAAGTTTAGGCTGAGGAACAGACAGAATTGGTGATGTCTTTTTCATTTACATTCCTGCCTTGGTTTCCGTCATAAATTCATTCCGGACCATATTCCTGGGCTGAGAATATTGACCCCAGGTGTGCCTTAGGTCCAGCCATACAACCCCCCAAACCTAATCTTTGTAATATGTGTAATTTTGTAGCCTTTTGACTATAATGTACAAAAGCACTTCGGAAAAGGAGTTGCAAATAACCTCCTTCCGAAATAATGGTTAATCCAGTGTTTCAGAAGGTGGACAGTGCCACAAGCGCAACCCTATTCCTGCATCTGCAGTCTGGAGGTGCTGCAAATGCCTAGTTGATCAAGGCACAAGGTCTTGGTAATCATGAGTCTGCCCTGTATCTGTAATGCAAGTCTGCTCTTGCTGTCAATGATCATTGCCAGAGCCATCTCAGGTGTTGTAGCTGGGTGCCAGCCATTTCCTTCAGACTTAAAATAGGAGAGCAAAAGAATTTCAGGCTCCTGTAGATCAAGCCATAACATGTAGCCTGGAGGAATCTATATGTTAGCTAGGACTCAGCTGGGAGTCTTCAGCATCAGGTGCCTTTTCTCATCGTAACACACTGAGGCAGCATCTGTTTTCTGAGGCACCTGCTCATCTGGCCTGATGGAAGTTACAACAGAAATAGCAGGGGGACAGATGCGATTTCACTGCTGGTGCAGGGTGTCCTGCCCTTTACTCTGCCAGTGCTGTTGGTCAGTGCAACAGATGAAGCGTGATCTGGGGATCACACCTCCCCTGATGACCAGTGTGGTCAGGTTTCAGAGAAGCTTAGCGAGGACTCCGGGGCCTCAGCAGAGTGTCTCTGTGGTGATGTTTTATTCAAAAAGGTTCATGTATCCATCATCAGTTCCAGAGAGCAGGAGGCTCCACCAAATCCTATCAATCAGACTGCCAGCAGAGGGACCTAGCCATAGCCAAAGACATAGTGATGTTGAGAGACTGGGGCTTGCTTGCTGCTTTATTACACACTATGATAACTTTAGCATCAGTGAGACTACTCGGGGGAAAGCCAGAATGAGAACCTGTCTTGCTAGTGCTGCCGAACTGTCTAAAAGGAGCTTTTCCTTTGTGCAGCCTTTGTTGTTACACTTTCACAGCTCCTTTAGAGAAGTTTAGACTCTCTCCGCATTTTGGTTTGGGATTTTTGCACACTAACCATCTGATATTTATTGCGAGTTCTCTGCCTTGAGTCTCTGAGCTATCAGTGGAGGCAATATGTCATGGCAACAGTCCAGACATGTTCCTGTTTCATCTGGTCTGCGTGTAACACCTAACCTGCTGCCTGGGGTCTTAGTTTCAGCAGTTACTGTGTATTTTTTTTTAAAGCTCTAATAAGAGGTTTCATCTGCCTGGATATAACTCAGAACAGAAAAAAATGGTCTGTTGCACCTGCTCCTTTGTGAGACTGTAGTAATAGAGGCTGCAAAGTGTAGTATTAAATTTCAGTATAGCCAGTGCAAATTAGACCTGGGCCTGGATCCAGATTTCAGCAGCCTGGAGCTGCTTGCTGGGGAAGGAACAAATTCTAACCCAGTGATCTCTCCTGCAAGGATGTATCTAAACAAATGGAGAGTTTACACCCTGACTGAGAAAACCCCACTGTGATTACTGATGCACTTCACCTCCATCTGATTTTCAAGCCGTGTTACAGAGACAGTCGTAGCTTTCTGGTTAGTATAGTGCCTTTCACAGTCAGCCTCCAAGGGGCTGGAAGATGAAAGGAGGATTTAGGCAGGTGAACAGATACCCCCACAGTAGCCAGGTTGACCTGAGGGCTGACAGACCTCTCAAAGCTATTGCAAGGATATAAAGTGGTGGACTGTGATGCTGAGCAGTAGAGGCAGACCTTTTCCTAACAGAGCAAGGAAAACTCTGGGATTGTATCACACTTGCACGTGGTTTACAAGCATGGCACTTGGCTGGCCTCCTGGCTGAAGGCGACTTGCAAATGCTACATAGGACATGCTCGTGAACTTGCTCCAGCTACAGGTATTTCAGTGGCTTGACAAGTTCAGCATTTGAAACATATCAACTGGCAGTGATGTTCAAGCCACATCACTCCTGATTTTTGTAAAATTATTTTTTAAAATAAAAAGAGACCATTGAGATGACTGATTTGTTGCCAGTCTGCTAATGATTAAAGGAGTTTATAACCGGACATGTGTTTTGTCGTTCCTAGATCTCCTGCAGCCTGTGGGAGGATGGGTCTGGAATAATGGCTCTTTTAAGTTGGTATCCTGATTTGGGAAACAATCAGGAAAGTGAGGAAGTTGCAATGGACAACTCTGAATAGTGCCTCCAGGAACAGTCCTGTGAATTAATACTGTAGCTGGCTGTTTCGATAAGAAGCTGGAATTCCTTCTGTATTCTATGAGTGAGTGCCATAGGTGTTGTTATTATTATCCATATAATGCTATAATGCTATCTTTTTTTTTAAGCTTTTGGTTTCAGGAGCCAAGGATAACAACCAACTGCTTTGTAAGTAACGTTTCCTCGATGCGGTTTTACCAACAAGCCTTGGTGGCAGCTTGGCAGCTCGAGGTGTCACCGAAGCTGGAGGTGGCAGTGGAGGAGGTTGTTAATGCGGGTGATGGCTTCGGCAGCTGTTGTTGCGCTGGGAGATGGTTGTGGACGGTGGTTGCTGGTTGTGGTGGTGCATGGGAGGGTGATGGGTGTTGCTGCTGATTGTTTGGGTGGCTGTTCTCAGGGGCAATGCCTGAGGGGCGGTGAGCGTGTGACAGCTGAGGCAGCTGAGTGGGGAGGCCGTTGGGAAGTGGGTGACCATTGGTGTGTCCAAGGGGGCAGTTGGGGTGTGCGTGATGGTTGGGGTGTCTGAGGGGACAATTAGCGTGTGTGTGACCGCAGGTATCTCCGAGGGGACAGTCAGCATGTGTGTGACTGCTGGGGTACCTGAGGGGGCAGTTTGGGTTGTGCATGAGTGTTGGGGTGTCCAAGGGGGCAGTTAGTGTGTGCGTGACAGATAGGGTGTCTGAGGCGGCAGTTAGGGTGTCCCTGACTGCTGGGGTACCCGAGGGGGCAGGCAGTGTCTGTGTGGCCGCTGAGGTACCCAATGGGGCGGTCAGTGTCCGTGTGGCCGCCGGGGTGTCTGGGGTACAGGCAGTGTCTGGGTGACCGCTGTGGTTCCCAGCGGGTCGGTCAGTGTCCGTGTGGCCGCTGGGGTGTCCGGGGGGGCAGGTGGGGTGCGTGTGGATGCCAGGGTGTCCGGGGTTACAGACAGTGTCTGTGCGGCCGCTGCGGTACCCAACAAGGTGGTCAGTGTCCGTGTGGCTGCCGGGCTGTCCGGGGGGTACAATCAGTGCTGTGTGACCGCCGCGGTTCCCAAGGGGGCGGTCAGTGTCCGTGCGGCCGCCGGGGGGGACAGTCAGTGTTTGTGTGGCTGCAGGGGTGTCCGGGGGTACAGTCAGTGCTGTGTGGCCGCTGTGGTTCCCAAGGGGACAGTCAGTGTTTGTGTGGCTGCAGGGGTGTCCGGGGGTACAGTCAGTGCTGTGCGGCCGCTGTGGTTCCGAGG